TTGACAGCTCTGTCGACGGGGAGTCACAGGGGAATTGGAATTCAACTTCCAGAGGCGTAGTTGCGAGCTCTCCTTCCTTTTCTTTAGGGTTTAAGACCGAGGGCGGCACAAACCTCCCCTGGGAGCTTGCCCGCAGGCTAAATTTGGTCACGCTCGTTCAACACAAATCTGATGAGAATCATTGTTGCATAACATCACTTGGAGAAATGAGAAACCAACTGCACTTCACACGCCCAAAATGCCGATAGGACACGTTAAATAAAACATGGTGAAAAGGTTAGGAATTCTGCTGTATTCTTCAGTTACTACTTTGGACTAATAAATAGCGATCGCCGCTAAAATTTCAATGCTATCACATCTAATTAATTTGTTACACAATGACAGTTCTCACGAAACAGCCGTGGACTATAAAAAGGCATTATGAAACCAAGGGAAAAAAATATATATATATAAAATTTGGGAAAATTCCAAAGCTTGCTTGCAGATGCGTCTTATGATTGACAGACTCTTGGGAGCATCCTTTTTTACCCAAAATAAGTGAGAAACGGGCTCGTAAGTCCTCAATATCCTACCGAAAAATATTGATTTCCATTATCTGTAACTCCTCCGATTACGATGTCCGCTCCAATCATTTGCCCTCGGCCGGTTGAAATGCCAAAACCAACCCATCCAGTAGTTTGTGCTTCCACTGCGAAAGAAATCGATCTTGCATTCCAGTCCACACTCCAGTACAATGTTAGTTTCTCAGCTTCGTCCAAAGCCGCTGAGTTCGTAAACTCTGAGGAAAGATCTCCCTTTGTAATCGCCGCCTGGAAAGATCCTAAAGAAGCATACATCAGGATAGCAAAGTAGAACTTCATGTTTATGACTGTTATAGTTGGGATGTGGTTCTTGAAACTATCGGTGTCTTTTCCGGAGCTGTCAATTTAATGAGCGCTCAGCAGTTATAATCACGAAAATAACGATTCTAGATATCTATAACACGTAATTGCCAAAAATAGCTCTGTCGTTAAAGAATCCCGGTGAGGCTCGACTTGCTTTCTACTCTTGTCTACTCAAAATTTCATACGTTTTCATTTTAGTGAAATATTCTGGTGTATTTTAGTGTGCCCTTTTTGTTTTTTTTTACTTTTAAGCTGCGGGGGGGCTCTGTTCTCTATGTGGAAAACTTGCCAGCTGCTTCGGATGTCAATCTTTATCGGTAACCATGACACTGTTAGACTCTAAATATTGTTAGCAATGCATGGGCAGGTGTGAAAAGATAATCCTTTATAGGTTTCCTAAAGGTCCGTCCCTCAAGGCATGGATAATAGAAAGACCGGCTATTATCCATGCTTAGCGATTTAATTAGCCTGCGTAGCAAGCGGTTCCGCGCAAGTTCGTAAAGAAAACTGGAACGAGAGCAAAAAAAGGAATGAAGGGGGAGGGGGAGGGGAGTGAAATTTCGCGCTATAACTCGACTGGAAACGCTTGCTACGCAGGCTACGATTTAATATATCTTCATGCTTGCAGAACGACATACAAGATGGGTAACCTGTGCCACAGCCTCGACACAACAACATTACAACCCAGTCCACTTTCGGTCTAGTTCGCAGTTGTGTAATCATGGAGGGTCTCGAAGAATTAGGAAAGAGCATTGAGGAAAAGAAATTTTGCAAACCAACTTCGTGGCTGGTGTGCAATTCAAATGGATGTTTTCGGCCTGGTTGCGTGTAAGTCTCCTAGGTGACTGCTGACGGATTTCAGTGTTTTGCATTTTCTGGGTGCTCGGAAGCGGGCAATTAACTTAAGGCTAAGTTTTGCTAAACACTGTTTTCCTTGACTAATGATTCCATCATATACGTCCTAATTTTGAACAACAAGTACTGGGAATTTTGTACCCTTTACCTGCTGCTCATAAGCTCCTTTTTACGATTTATTCGGTTTTTACAGTGTATTGCATGTTGTAAACATGCGTTGTAAACATGCTCTGAGCCGGCCTCTGTAGCCTTCAGGCTTTGGAGTTAATTAAACCAGTTGGCTACAAGAAGCTCCGAATCTTGCAATTCATCTTGCAATTTTCACAGTACTCTATCACTATTAGAACAACCAAAGTTATTGTATATTACCTGCATTAAAAAATGTGAATCAAGTAAGTCCTACAGAGTATACGTACATATTGGCATGGCACTCAATGAATTATTTATCAAATCCCTTTATTAATCCAGAGGGAGGTAATAAAAGTACACAGATCTAAACATTGTGTGATGTCTCTTGACAAAACGCTGCAAATAAGGTTCTGATAACTCCGATCCTTTGTTTGATTTTCTGTTCCTTTACAAGTGCACATTCTGTTATTAAACTAAGTTCTAATAGGTCCTACAATAAGTTATAAAAAAAATACAAAAATGACATTATTAATCTAACTTGTAATTCATATTTTTAAGGCCAGGAGGAACGCGGAAAAGATCACTGAATGCACCTCACCCGGTTCCAATCTTTGGGAGAAAAGGCCACTTGTTGGGAGATGAAACATATTCCAGGTTGGTAATTTCCAACAAACTCATGGCATACTCCATTGATTGTATGCTGGAACAAGAATAATTGAAATTAACTCTAGAAATCACTTGTTTTGGCATTTATTGCATTGCAATATCTAGAAATCTGCTTGAAAGAAAATATTCTGATGAATGTAGTGTTCCCGTGGCCCTAGGAACACAGTAAAAGAGATTTGTCACCGACCTTTTCCTTATTCTTATTCTGGAATACGACATACACTGTATCAAAGGTGTCCTTAATATGCAAGGGATCAGATCAAGATCCTGAACATACAATAATATTGTTTGTTCTAAATATACGAACGTGTACATGTGACAGGGCCAGTTTACACAAGCAATCCCATCCTGTGATAAGTTTCAATTCCAAGATTCATCTAGGTATCTGAATGGTTACTTTCCTTTTTCTTCCCTTTCTGGAAATCGCATTGTACAGATCAGACATAGTTTTCATAAAATAAATATGTGCACAAATGTCACTCACAGCAAGTCAAAATTTAATGTAGTGAGGCACAGAAAATTGTCAACTGCTTCAAGAAGGAAAGATATATTGTGTTTTCATGGGTTTTTCATCGCTGGATGAACTGTCATCACATGCTGAAGATAAGGATGAAATCATGTACAGCTGTAGAGACTAATTTGCTTTAGTCAAGGATCATGTAATTAAGAAGCAAATAACCTGCAGACATTGAAACCAAACCACTCCAAGAATGGGATTGCTCATACAAACAGGGCCTTAAAAGAAGGTGTTGGAAGGTTCTTGGGAAAGTGTACAGTTTGCAATTGCAGCACAAAATAAGCCTCATGCATGGCAAGCACATACAAAATACAGGGCATGAGATAAAATAATGAAGCGCCTGAAAGGTGACAGGTTGTATGCCATAGAGCTATATGAAACAATACTGAAACCTACTGCAGTGTTCTTACTAGGATTTTGTACACTAGGGTCCACAGTACCCACAGAGAAGCTAACAGGAGGTCATGAGGGAGAAAAACGGGTCACAATTTTTTAGACACGGTTAACTCAATGTTTTCACAGGTCTGAGTGTTAGATAACGATGGATGTTTTCTAAAGGAGCCATAACCAATTAATTTTTAAGGAAATGTACGTATGTGTACGCACATTTTGTAACAGGGTTTTTGCTGCAATGCTGCGGTCTGGTAAGAACACTGCTACTGTGACCCTAACATTCATTTCATTTTATTGAGAAATATCCCTGCAGCCTTCAGAACCCTTCTTCCTTCCTCTATACAGCATCTTCCTTCATTAGTACATGTACCTTAAGTTGCAGTGATAAATGCGTAAATTAAAAGCAGCTTTGCAACTTTGATGGCAAAAAAATTTTATGAAAAAAGATAATCTATCTCCAGTATCAGTTATAATATGTTTTTGCTAGAGAGATCATTGAGGTACTCGTCTTTGCATGGATGTCCTCCTATTGATTATAAATTTTCAGTTAGGGAGCCCAATATTGGCAAAAAAACACATTTAAATGGCATGGTTTCTGGTACTAATCAGATATTGAAAACGTGGTTTCATAAAATTGACAATTTTGTCTGCTTTTATTCTTGGTGGTTTGTATAGTCTGTAACTAAAGGAATTTATTAAAATACTACTGTGTTTTCATCAATACCATTTTTTTTAAAATTTAGTTTGATACTACAATAATTTGACTTTAACCTACTGTATTTCTAAAACAAGAAACATGTTTGACTAAGACTTTATTATGTAATTATTATTGGTAAATCATCTTCATTATGCAAGTATCTGTACATATGTTAAATTATCCTTTCAATGATGAAGATTATTATTTTTAGTTTCATAGTGAAATTCAATCACCTTACATTTTCTTACATGTTGTAGACATAAACTTTGTAACATTCATTTAATCTGTGTCAAAGGATTTTTTTGCAACTCTTTTCTATCAATTATCAGATTTTACATTGTAAATTCAAATTAGTTTTGGAAAAGGTAGGTCGTTATATTTGTTGTGATGTAGTTGTATAACTCTTGATCCAATTCCCTTTTGTTAAGAGATTGATCAGAGAGAAGTGAGTTGTTGTACATGTAGTCCTTAAGGCTTCTTCCAGGGTTGTCACTAAGATTTCAAGTTGCCGGGTAAATATAACAAGGAGGCGGGGAATCAAATGGCTAGGGATTTCTTTTGGTTCTTTTTTCTTCTATTTTCCAATGAAAGTAGCCGGGGGCCACTCTCTTAGTAGCCGGGGAAAATCCCCAGCCCCCGGCTCTTAATGACAACCCTGCTTCTTCTCTTGTAAAATATAACTGTTGTAACTGTAGTTGTTTGGATTCAATAAGGTAGTGATGTGCCTTGATGAAACTGTAAATATTGTTTTCTTCAAAGAAAAAGATGTCAACTTAAGTCTCGCAGATCACATGATTTGTTTTGATCCAATTTCAACGGAACAGAAAATGATACCAACAACAAGCAATAGACCCTGGGTTATGGTGAGGTATGCTTGACATAATTTTTCAGCAAATTGAGACAATATAATTATTTCTGTTGCATGATTGATTGTAAAAATTATTGTTTGTAGTTGCTTGTTTGTTTGTTTGTGGAAGGACTGGAAGGAAGTTGGGAATTGTTAAATTCCTTGCCCATCCATATTACTTACAACATCAGCATTGTTGGACGTGAAAGACTTGAGCACAAGTTTAGAAAAACGAGTACGTTGTAATAATTTCTAAGCTAAGTGCAAACGGACGCAACAACTCCCAACATTGATGGCCCAACAATTTTGGGAGTGTTGCGAGGGTTTGCACGTAGCTAAAAGTTTGACCGGTTTCAAACTTTGCACAACAACTCTCAACAACCAGCAGCAATATGCAACACGGTGTGCAAACGGACGGAACATCTAACATTTAACAATGCTGGGAGTTGCTGACCAACAATGTAGCGTCCGTTTGCACGGGGCTTTAAAATACTTTATGCGTCATTCAAACTACTAAAATCTTCAGTTTGCGGTGTTGGCTTCAACTTGTGTTGGTTAAAGGTAAAGAAAGATGTGTACGGTATCTCGCTTTCTTGGTTGGTACTATCTTTAGTATTTTCACATGTTTATCATGACTCTTTGATTAAGCCAAATGATTGGGGTTTGGTTTCAATTAAGACAAAATAACTCTGTTGAGAAACGAGCTTACTACAGGTGTATTTATCTTGCATGGTGAACAAATTATACAAATAACGTCTCTCAATGTTAAACGTGGAGAATTTGCAACACAAAATTTGTCCGCTCCTTAATTTTAAAAAGATGTCTGTATAGCTGAAATACTCCTTGATCTGTTCTTTGCGCAAATTTAAATCAAATTGCTTTTACTGCAAGGTTGAGAGCTTTTACACATTACGAGCAAATGGGGTACGATCCGTGGTGATTCGCAAGAACCAGTATTCGAGCTACTAGGGTAAATTCTGATCAAGGGAAACAAGATTTAGTTCGAATTAGTTGGGGATTAGACTAATATCCGAGTTCTAGTTAACCGAGTAAAAATGGCTGAAAAGTGGAGTCAATTCCAAGTACTCGTTAAGTTCGTGCTTCGGACTGTTGGGAACAGGCTCGCATTATGCCTAATTATGCTACATTGCATAATACAAAACATTATTTGTTTCAATTCTTATTGATTTTGATTTTAAGCTACGAATGGCACGTTTTTTACGTTTGAAATTTAGATTTTTTATCTTTGTGGCGATCATCTCCTTAATGTCAATCTGCTTTATTTACCTCCACCTTTATAATCTCAGGAGACATCTAATGTATACACAGAAAATATAGCCTAAACAAAAACGGGGTTTTCCTTCTTTGGGGGGGAGGGGGGGGTGGCTACACGTAGGCTAATAAAATGAGTTATTCATTCGTTCTTTCTTTCGTTCGCTCGTTCAATCATTCAATCATTCATTCAGTCAGTCAGTCAGTCAGTTTTTGGCTTTCACTTGTCCTTTACAATTCCACAAGCTTACCTTTTAAGTATGAAATATTTATCGGGTACAAAATTTATTGTCGTCCAGTTACATTGTAAGTAATGGCGTTGGAGCCCCTGACATTCACTCTCTTCAGTATGAGGCGAATTTGATATTGCACGTTAAATAAATCTCAAGGAATTCAAGATCGTTACTCATTTTTTTAGTTGTATTGTTAATTCACTGATTGTCGGCGTTTGAGAACTGACAATGAGCTCGCTCAACCGAAGAGCCATTTTCACGTACTGCCACTCGGCTCACAGGGGGCGCTCACGTCAATCGCACGGACACGAATAAGTTGGTCATCACGTCGACCGTATCGAGTCCGTTACCACTGTCAGGGAGTCCGACGGGCAGAACGCCCTACGTCAATTTGTTCTTTGCATGAGACAAGTTTGTTTAATCTTGATTGTTTTGAAGAGAAATTTTTTAAACAACATTAACAATATTGATGTCATTATATGTTACGTGTAAGTGAACCAGTGATATCGGCCTCGCCCTGTGGGACTTCATGGTTCATATTGATTAAGATCGCATCACTCTGTTGTTTTAGATCCGAAGGAGCGTATGTTGGCAACTTTAGGCGCTAGATCGTTTTGCGCTCCCGCCCATACATGTACACTGTAGAAAAGCTTTCTCGCGCATATCCGTGATATCGGATCACTGTGTGCTTCTAAGAGACAAGTCAAGACATAACTTTTTAGATTAGCTTTTACGTAGTTTTAACTAGATTTTATTTTATATTATTTATGTATTTTTATCAGCATTTTTACTTTTTATCTGTTTTATGTATCATAGATTCATTTTAAATTTTAATTAGTATGACTGTGAAGCGCTTTTGATCATTTATATGTTAAAAGGCGCTATAGTAAATTTATAAATTATTAGTATTAGTATTAGTATTAGTATTAGTATTAGTATTAGTATTAGTATTAGTATTAGTATTAGTATTAGCATTAGTATTAGAACAATACGAACAACAACAACAAATGTAGATCAGAAAACTTGATGAAGCCGCTTCTCACTTATTATCTGCGAAATTCTTCTACCTGGAGTGTTGAGCTGTGAACTGACTAAATCCCCCGCTGCCATTTCGACACCTGTGAATTCCGTTCTTCTTTTTTACCCGTATTAGACATCTGTCTTGAGCCAGCCAATTAAAGACAAGATTGAGAATCCTTTCCATGAACAGAGGCAAAAGCGGCTACGATCACACATAGCTTGTCCACATTAAATACTCATAAAGAAATGTTCTCTTGTATGCAAGGTGACAATCAACGTTTCTTTGAGGATGCGTTTGGATCAGCGTCAATCAAATTTTAAATAGACTCTTTGAATCGATGTTCTATTGTTAGACTAAAAACAGTTTTTATTACCTGTGGTTAATATTGATTTTTTTGAGGGCGTGAATCTCTCCAGTGGACTTCTCGCAACAAAAGTGATCAGGAATCAAGACAGACAATCTCTCAAGTTAGTTTTTTGCCCAGTAATTCCTGTTCCAACTGTGCGTCCGCAAGATGAATAATTATGCAGACGTCATCAGAACTTGCCCAAGTTGTCTAATTTGTATTTTTTCAATTGAAATCAATGAAGATCACGAATTTATTCTCAATTTGCATGATTAACGTGCATACCTCAGTTCAAGTAGAGATTTTTTTTATATATAATATAATCTAGTGGTAAGAAGTAACTGTGAAAATAAACTCATACTGACGAATTTTAGTCCACTTGAAACGCGGAAGGAAAGAAAATGAAAGTAGTCTGGAGAAACTTCCTATTAGATGTTCACTCAACTTCACAGTTGAATGATCATTTGAAAATAATGCGTGCGGTTAATGTTTGTATATGTTAAGGTTTGTTTCGAGTTAATCATGCAATTCTGACCGAGCAGGCCAAACAATTCTTGAATTTAAAGGTAATGCCGGTAGGAGAAATGTCTGCTGGAATCTTATCATCCCAATACTGATCAAGATTGGGTGAAGGCACCTGGCCTCCGTCATATCCGCCATCATTTTGGCCCTTTTATGCAACCGATTTTTTTTTAACCTTTGTCAAAGCGAGGCAAGCGGAATTCGAGCTTTTGTCGTGAGCAGTTGAGTCTCCCTCAGTGCAAAAGTGTTATGCATCGCACTGCTAATCTGATACCACTGATCGCGCCGTGAACGTTTATTTCTCATTTATGGGTTCACCTTCGAACTTTTGCTGTCTGCTGCCTTCTTTTCGCAAGAAAAATTCTGGAATCAGGTGTTGGAGGAGACACGTCAATTCCGACTTTAAATCATGGAACTGTGAGCATTCTGGTATTAAATCCAATGGATTTTTAGGGTTAAGCTCGCGAGATATGAAACATCAAAGGTCTGAGGAGACACGCACTCATTGGTAAATACATTTTTATTATTTCATCTTTTATAGTTGTACAGTCGAATCCCGCTTTATGGACACCCGCTTAATACGGACACCTTATTGTTACGGACAGTTTGCTTTGTCCCTGGGGAAAGAAACTCCATTCATTTTCTCTTAATACGGACACCCCCTTAATATGGACACTTTCTATCCTCGGGCCCCCTTAATGTCCGTATTAACGGAGTTTGACTGTAGTTAACATCAACTCAAGCACTAATATAACTATGACAGAAAATAATGGAAGTGGAGTTATGTGCAATATACGCTTGTAGCCATCGCGTTTGTTCCGACTGAAATTTATTGATTTTAAGCTTAAAAGCAATAAAATATACCAACGGGCAAATACGAAGGCTTTATACCCATGTTCATCTGCGTTTACCCTTACATTTCTTGCTTTAGTTGAGGCTTGCTCAGAAGTCACTGTTCCAGTTTCTGATTCGCACTAATTAAAATACTCAAAGTTAATAAATTAAGGGATATCGTGACAGAAAAATAAATAAATAAATAATAATAGTGATGATAATAATAAAATAAACGACAGTCAACTTTTTTATTTCGTCTTGCGCCGGCCGTAAGATATGTATGCCAGAGCTTTTTAGGTATGTTAGGTTTAATGTGTATTTAATTAGTGCTACGAGAGACTTTGTGTATGCGATTTCTTTTATTTAGACTGCTGTCACTATTGTTTTGTGGTCGACTATTTATTAACAACCAAGCCTGAGTGCCCAATATTATCCTTTGTTCTCTTTTCAACTCGTTCAAACGTAATTTCAAGTATCACGCACAAGACAGTATAGTTTAGTGAAGTTCTCAATATAGCCTGTCAGCCATGTCTACGTACGTCAATTGCTGCTTCCTTTTCCGCGCAAACTAACTAATTATACAAAAAAAAACCGATACTTCTCCCCGCAGACTTGTACATTCACATGAATTGAAATTCGTACAATTACATGTCATGGGAAAAATGAAAAAGTGAGAACATTTTTGTGGCATTTTATAGACATTAACCCAAGAAAAAAGGTTCCTCGTTAATGTAAGAACTAGTTACCACTCACGAGTGACGTAAATCAATAGTGCCTAGAATCAAAGCATCACAACAAAGAAACCCCCTCAGCAGGTTTTACATCACCGAGGTAAACCCGGGAAATGCGTTTCTAAATTACTTTCGTGTTGAATATCACCATCCAATAAGTGCTACTTACTTACAGTGAATGCAAAACGTCTTTCACATGGCACTTCTTTTAATCGTGAAGGGAATGGTTGACGTTTGAGTTTATTATCCTAAATGTTTGTCAGCACTACAAGTTCTATTTTCTAATCACTTTGGTTGCACTCGTGTCTGCTGTTCGTTGTTTTATAACTGAAATCAGACTGTTAATCGGAGACTGAGACAGGAGGAGATTATGCTGGCTTCATTTTCACGAAACAAACATTTTGTTTTTATTGTACGTTGTAAACCGCGTAGTCGAAAGAATGAAAACGCATTATAGCGGGGTTATATTCTTTCTGAGGTGAAAATAGCACATGAATTCTTAAAGTCGAATAACAGGCGTTCTGTATCAGAGCGCGAAACTGAAAACAGCCGCAAACCCGGGGGAACCACACAATGTGTATGTGTATCCGTTAGTAAGTTTTTAGTAAATGCATTAGATTTACCGTTTGCTTCGTCTTAAGTGTTATATTACTAAATATGTAGGTTGATCAATGCTAGATAGACGCTGTATTACCTTATATATGGTTAATTGTCGATCTTTTGCCTTAGAAGTGGTATTTTGAGCGAGTTTGAAGGATTTTGAGTTCGCTGTTAACAGCGACAGTTTACCGCAAGTGAGCTAATACAGTGTTTTTTTTAGCATTGATCTATGTGCATATTTAGCGATTTATGACTACAAGTGAAGCAAACAGTAAATCTAAATCATTTACTATAAAATACTAATGGTTACACATACAGATTTTATGGGCCCCCTGTGCCACGACAGCAAGACACGTGGCAAGTGGTGACTGACTAAATGACGTCTGTGTTTTATTTTGGTTAAACTTGCCCTAAGCCTACGCAGCCGGCGCTTGATAAAGGCGGGAAAACTGGTCGCACGAGAATTTTGAAGGGCTACCTATGCCAGCTTGATTCTTGCGCAATATAAAACAACAACAACAACAGTTTATTCAATTATCAAATAATTTAAGACTATGTTAACCAAAATTAGTGGAGCTATTCTAGGTTTGCAACAATACAGTAATTGTCTTCTATAAAGTCGGCAAAATAACGGTAAGTAAAGAGAAAGGGAAAAATAAAATGAATATCCGGTGGCAATTGTTATTAGTTACCATTGGGAAAACAAAATTTAAATGATAAAAAAGTCGCCAAATTGAAAATTCTTAAATAGGTTGTTACCTGACCATTTCAATGCAGTGATGCGTGAATGGATAATTTTTATGTCCACTGCAAGCCTTCTTTGAGGTGCTTCAGTTTTTTTAATTTTCTGTCTGCAATTCTAACGATCCGCTGTGATGCAGTCTTATTCGTAATACCGTGGCGGTGGTTTCTTTGGTAGAGGAATTCTGCAATCCATGATGAAGCTGTAAGGGATAATCGACATAATAGAATTCTGTTAGCCATAGTTGTGCTACTCAGCGAGTCAATATGATCCGTAATTTTGTGTTGTTAGGTATCACACTCGGAAAAATTTGGATGTCGCTTTAAACGGTCTTCGCAGCAGGCCGCTTAGCCTGGTGGTGTGAATACATTGAGGATAACACCATTCTTACTATTGTTCATGAAAAGTATGACTTTGTTGCTGCCCTATAAATTCTCTTATTCTCTAATCAGTTGACTTTCTTTTTTCATTAGCTATGCAGATCCCTCAGATCACTTTCTGGACTGGGAGAAGCAACCTTTTAATGTGTTAGTAATAAAAAAAGTTATGGACTCTGAAGTAACCAGATGCTTTAAAGAACTCACTAAATGGCTAATTGAGGTAAGTCTATGATCTCCCTCCTTATTGACCTTCAGCATACACGAATATACAGTCAGTAATCGTGGTGTTTTAAGCAATCTGATTGGTTTGCTATCTCCAGTAGCCTGCTCACAGACCCTCTATTTTCTCTTCAAAGTCCGTCCAGCGCGTGTGATAAAATATAAATCGCCTCGCGCTCGCGCTCGCCGATAGCCTGCGTAGCAGGCGCTTGGAATTAGTGGGCACAAGAAAAAGTGGGCGCGCGAGAAGGAGACTCGCGTGTCTCCCTCGCGCGCGCCCGTTCTCTCTTTCGCCCACTACTTTCAAGCGCCTGCTACGCAGGCTAGCTCGCCCATGTTTTCCAAAAGAACGAAAAGAAAAATAAAACAACGTCTGTGTACAGGCTATATCTCCAGATATTGAGCAACCATCTGTGGCTGGAGTTGCAGATGGTGCGATTATTAACTGACATACGGCACAGTTGAACCTCTACACCTCGATCGGCCACCTTGGGGCAGAAGAAAGCGGCCGTGGTAGAGAGGTTTAAACAAGATTTTTACCAACAACAAGAACAACAACAACTTTATTGACTTTATCTTCGACATGAAGATTTCAGTACCAAAACAATGACAAATGAAAAAAGTAAAATAAAAGTTAAGTAAGAAAGAAAGGAACAATTGAATATTATCATAAAAAGAAAAATTACTTGGCTATGTACGGCTTCTACGCTACTCGTGTGGTCAGAAAATTTAATTAAAGTTCGGATGCATAACAATTTAGAATATTTTCAGTATAAGAGGCACTGAGATTTATGATGTTTTCATCGCACATAGACATGATATATAAAAATAGTGCCTTGCAAGACATATTCGTAAAATTACTGTTTATCGAGTATAGGCTCTCCAAGAAGATACCCCAGGCCCTTATATGAGAAAGTGATGAATGGGTGCATTTCAACAAATAGTGGAATTCATCACCAGTTTCGGATCTATTACAAAGGGGGCAAAGCCTCTCAACTCCGGGTATCCTTTTGTAGCGCCCAGATTCGATAGGTAGCAAGAGTCAGTGTATGGAATGTCCGCCAAAAACGGTGGCCGTTGTAGAGAGGCGGCCGTTAGTGGAGGTTCGGCTGTATTGAAAAAAAAAGGTTCAATGAACTATAGCCACACCACGACACCTTTTTTTTAACAAATAACAGAGTTTCCGCAAAACCAAGAAACGACAAGTCATTCAGCAACCATCCGTTGCTGGAGTTGCCAATGGTGCGATCGTCATCTGATATAATACAAAAGTTTTAAAAATCCACTAAACTATAGCCTCATCACGACGCTTTTGTTTACACTAACAATAGACTTTCCAAGAAAGTGAACATGATCCTCGTATTAAAATGAACCACCTAGAAGAACCTGAAAAAGAAACTGAAAGATTTAGGCATTAGGGAATGGAACCCTGGCCTTTGCGATGACTGGGCTAATCAAGCCAACTGGAGAGCAGGCCATTGAAAACATAAAAGTGCACATGATCCTCGCAGTACAATGAACAACCTCAACGAGGATCATGTTAACTTTCATGTCTTCATCCATAGTTCATCAAAATGTAATTTATTTCACATAGACTTTCCGCCAAGGCAGGTTCGGACCGGATCATTTCATTTACATACTTACCAGACAATAGTTCCCAACCTTTTCCCTAATTGTAAATGAGTCTATCCGGTCCGAGTTTTGTACCTGCCCTCTCCGCCACACCAAGAAACGACCAGTTACGGCAAAGACTTTATTAAATAGCAAAGACAACATGGCAATAGTGAGGACAACACACCGAATTGACCAACGATACGGCGGGAAATTCAGCACCGGAAGTTGCGGTCGGTCTTTTCGCTAGCTTTCGGGTTCACATTTGACTTCGCGAACTATATTTCTTCATCATCCTAATTAATGTCCTCTCTGACTTCCTTATATCCCCATTCTTTCCAGTCAGTATTACATGAAAATAGTCAGTATTTCATGAAAATTGTTTTGTCATGAAAATAGTTTGGTCAAATGTGGTTGATCAAATTATTTATGCAGTTATTTATATATTATTTCTTCATTTATCACAGGAGAAAAGAATGATGATTTTTGCTGAAGCAACAGCCGTTGAAGACCCCTTAGTTTCACAGGACGAAAAATTTTCAGCTGTCAGATCAAAACTTTGTATTTTCAAAGAAGGTGAATTATAATTACTAGTACTTGTGATAAGGTTGTAATCAAACAGATAACGCGGAATATCAGTTTCCCGTGGTTAAGTTGAGCTATTTGGTAGATTCATTATTCTACAGCGCCATTTTCGATTAAAAAAAATTAGCGAGTAAAACAAAATGGCTTTGGGCGCGAAATGAAGGAATATAAAGAACCTAAACCCTACAATCTTCCATTTGAATAGACGACCCACTAAAAGGTTTTAGGTTCTCATAGCGCAATGCCAATAGTATTTGCCCAGTACGCTTTTACCGCGTAATAAAGAAAAAGTGTTGTAAAAAAAGATTTGTTGAGTTATACTGAGAAATGCTTCTGGCTGTTACTTGTGTGTGAAATTTGCAGTGCTGTTTCTTCCTGAAACTCCTACTCTTTTGATTCCTTCAAGGTGACCAGCTTGATGACAAAATCGACTTCATCGTTTGTATGGGAGGTGACGGCACACTTTTACACGCCTCCTCATTATTTCAGGTAAGAAAAGTTAATAGGGAGTTTAAGCAACGACTTTTTTGAGCAACGCTCGTCAACCGGAAGTGGACTTTTTACACTCTTCGGCCGTGAGTTTCTGCAAATTCTTGAGGAAATCGTCTCTTTAAGAGTAAGGACACTTAGAAATACAAATTTGTTATTGTCAAGTCATATCAAAAGAGAAATAGGCTCACTTCCGGTAGACGTGCATCACTCAGAAACGTCGTTGCTTAAACCCCCTATTGATATGTGATCAGCTCGCATGGTGTGCACTCTCCTCACTAAATCTGAAGGAAAAGAGATTTTCCTTATTTTGCCTTCAGAGACACTGGCGTGTAGGATACCTGAGGTGGGAGATGCTAATTCATCTTAGTTCAGTGTCACAATGCGTTTTACTTTGACGAGTATTACTTGAAAGCATCGAGATTTGTTGGCTCTAAAATTTGTTAGCAGTTATTATAAAGCTGTTGGTAGTGTTACTATGCTACACAAGGGGGTGGGGGGATCAAGGAAAACCCGATGCACGTTCATATAAGGGTCGGGAGAGACGGTCGTTCACTTCTGCAAAATCCGTGCTGTTTCCCTCTTTTGCAAAGAATGTAGCTGTGACCTGTGTACAGCCGTTGCCTCCACTACCCAAGGGGTGCAGGGTGGGGGGGGGGGGTTGGGGGGCGGCTGTACTCGTGCTATTGTAGCTATCACCTTAGGGTCATGTGTCAGAGCTTTTTTTCTGATACACTTGAAAAGAAGTATACAAGAACTCCTCATAGATATTGCTCTTCCTTGACCCGTTTGAGGTAACTCGTTATCCCTCTAATTCTCTTTCTCTCACAACAGTGTAGCTGCCCTCCTGTTATGGCATTTCATCTCGGCTCCCTAGGATTCCTGACATCCTTCAGATTTAGAGATTTCCGGGATAAAATTACCGACGTTTTAACGGGTAAGTTCAATACATGTAATAAAAATTTCAAAATATATACAAGGTACGCGAAAATTGTGTTATACAAACGATAGAGAAATCGATGAATCCCTGTTTACCCGCAATTGTTACTGTACTTCCTGACACTAAAAACAGACCTACTGTTGCGTTGTAACAGTATGGAAGTCTTCTTAGAACGTACCTTTATTCCAACTCATGACCTGTACCTTTTTTGAGATTTTTTTACATTTGGTTAAGTACACTAGGATCAAACTATGATTCCAAAGAGAGTGGGTAATAAATAGCCGTAATTCTCCCAAATTGAGAGCTTGCGCACCTCGGCCTGCTAGCCAATAAATAAATCTTGCCTTCCAACAAAAATATGCATGTTTTTTAGGTTTCCACCTGTAGTATTGTGCCGTTATTCGATAGATAAAACCGCACACAATCCACCCTCGTTCCCAGGGCCCTCTCCTGCTCGTCCTCCGGAGGACGAGTTGGAGAGGGCCTTAGGAACGAGGTAGCACACAGCCCACAATCCCTTGATTCGCTGTGATGAAGGACCAGCGCTCGAAATATCAGCTTTACGGTTTACGTTTTTACGTTTTATCGACTTGGTTAGTGAAACCAAATTTTGCGTCTTATTACTTTTGGATGCTCTACCCCATTTGTTTCGTCGTTATAGGCGAATCGCACTTGCCGCTATTTATGAGACTAACATTTCTTGATTAGAGGACTGAGACAAAGGTTTCCTTGTTTGAAGCCGTTGGGGACTTTGAAATTAGCTAGATTTGTCGATCAGCACTGCGACGGAGCTCTGTATATATCCGCTTGTAAAACGCCATTTGCCTTCTGCTAACTACGTGTGTTGCACATTTTGTAGGTCATGCTGGCTTAACGTTAAGGAGTAGACTACAGTGTGACTTTACCAAGCGTGACAAGGAAGATGAGGCCAAAACCGGGAAGTCACGCTACTTGGTGGGTTTTAGTGACGAACAAAGTTGGCATCTTAAATTACTTCCCCTCTTTCCCTAGCCTGCGTCGCAGACGTAATTTAACCTCTGTTAGTACCTTCTGTAAGGCAGCGCCGGTATCCTTGTTCTGGGCCCACAACGGACTCAACGAATTACCGGAAATGCATTTCGAATTTCCTTCCATCTTGATTGACAAATCGACAATGGCGTTTTTAACAGGCCAATCCAAATCCTGGTACACAGGTGGTGACCCAGAACAAGGATTTCGGCACTGTTTCGCAGACGGAGTTAACCAGAGATTAATTTCGTCTTCGGCGCAGGCTACTCTTCCCCATGCTCAACCTCATACCCAGTTCTTTTCCCCTCGAGAAAGAGAGTGGCGGGAAAAGACCCTCCCACTTTCTACGGGAAGAGCCCTGGGAACGAGATTGCCCTATGTTACAGTATCTTTCCTTGCTGAGTCCTCTCCCCTGCTCTCTTGCGCCTACACCCGAACAAGTTATACCTATTGAAAGGTACTGTATGTGAAGGAGTGTGACAGTTAATTCTCGCCATAGGACGTTTCGTACAGGATCACAGAATTACAAGCGCGAATCTAGCGTATGTAAGATTTCTATTGTGGTTCAGGTCAGATACAAGTTTGTATTTGACGTTAAAGAATAAGTTTTGGTGGTCAGAAGGGGAAAATGTATCTGGGTACTGGGAAGGTGGATGCAGGGGTATGCAAGGGAGGAAACCCCTCTTCCGCCCGAAAGATGTGTCCCTGGATCATACACAGTTCAACTGATTATTTTCACCCATGAAACTGTTGGATATCTTGTTCTGTAGGTTTTGAATGAGGTGGTCGTTGACCGGGGTCCTTCGTCCTATCTTACAAACTTGGATATATATTGCAATGATCATCACGTCACATCGGTACAAGGAGACGGTAATTACTGCTATGACATTCATCCCATCTCTTTGATTCTCGCAAGTGTAACTGAGTAAGAAAGAAAGTATGGACATGTACACTTAAAAAGAAAACCGCAACACTGTTATTCGATTTCTTAAAACCGGAGCTCGTTTTGACTCCCAAATGACGGTAACAACTTTCTCCTGTCTTAGTAACATTTAAATAACGTTGTGCTCTTTAGGGTCAACCTTGTCCCAAGCGCTCTTCCCCTGCCCTGGGAAGATGGTTGCTTTAGTGTTGAATTGGTGCTAAACTGGAAAAATTTTGAATTAAGATCCCTTTTACTTTCAGAAACGACACCAAAACTGTCCGAAATCGAAGCCAGTTTTGCAATATTTTACTGAAACTCGTTGTTGGTCGCCATACGTTGTTGCAACACCCAAAGTAGCGATTTGAATTGAAACTGCTAGGCTAAGAATGAGAAAGATGTATTCATGTGTGAATAATTGAACTTCCCAAAGATGACTTAACTGTGAGGCAGGCAACATCGTGAGCTACTACTTGCGCAACTCCGGGATGTTAAGCATGCAGGCCCTTTTTAATTTGTGGCATCGAAAAATAAAAAGGCTCCTGTCTCAACCAATTGCGAGCATTTTTGTTTTCCTACAAACTTTTTTTCTTAAAACCTGATTTACCGATTTGCGTTGTTGCTACCTTCCTGAAATAGTTTATGGCTGCAGTATTCTTTATTCCTAATCTTCCTAATCTTCCCTGTAGTGGTGTTACCGTAAGTTGCGTGACGTTGCGTTACTATTTTCTTTTCTAGGGTTAATCGTATCCACACCAACTGGTAGCACAGCATATGCGGTAGCTGCTGGAGCATCAATGGTTCATCCCAGTGTGGCCGCTATCCTAGTAACCCCCGTTTGTCCCCATTCTCTCTCATTCAGACCCATCATTCTTCCTGCAGGAGTCGAATTAAAGGTAATGCCGTTCATTTCAATCTTTTTTTTTTACTTTTGAGATTGAGGTTAACTTTCATGCAACTTCATCTACTTGTATTATCAAATTCTTCTTCTAAAGCGAAATCCTTGTTCTCCAACGGGCTCTGTCCCGGTGGAAAAGGATGGAGGCTAGGGTTGGTTGGTCCCATGCCAAACCCTCAACCTGGACCAATCCAGATTGGGTGGACCTTCCACAGGTAACACTCCATTGACATGGGTCTTCAGACTCACAGGCTTCACCAGCGACTGTCCCGACTCCAGTCTGGCCTGTCACCCTCGACCAATCCAGCTTGGGTGGACCTGTCAGGGGTAACACTCCACTGGCATAGGTCTTCAGACAGACAGGCTTCACCAGGGACTGTCCCCAGTATGGCCTGTCACCCTCGACCAATCCAGCTTGGGTGGACCTGCCAGGAGTAACACTCCACTGGCATAGGTCTTCAGACACGCAGGCTTCACTGGAGACTGGCCCCAGTATAGCCTCAACCAATCCGGTATGCATGGGTGGACTTTTAGGGGTAAACCGACCGCCTAAACCCGGCAGGCATAGATCTTGAAGCACACAAGCTTCACCACCATCACCAGTCGACTTGCCCAGGGTGGACAATGAGAATTTTTCATTAACTGTCTCTTACAGATTGTACCGAGTCCTGAGAGCAGAAGTTCAGCCTGGACTTCATTTGATGGTAGAAACCGTCAAGAGCTAAAAGTGGGAGATAGGTAAGACTTTCTTATTGTTTTGGTCAATTTAGGCAGCTGTTAGAAATTAATGGTTGGCGGGCATTTGATAATCCTGCCAGTCAGAAGATATTTGCAAGATCAAAAAAGTATACGAGTAGATACAGAGGCGAATTTTATGAAGAGCCCAATCTGTCGCCTACGTACCTGGAGGTTTTATTGGCGAACGGGCAAACGAGCGGTGAAGTCGTAAGAGGAATGAATAATTTTGTGAAGCCTAGTTTTCCATCTAAGTTTATCTGATATACCAACCTTCAACTGAAGACGAAAAACTTTACAACTTTAAACACCCTGATACCTTTGCTTTGAAGGAACGCTGGTTTTGCGAAAATCATGTTATATCAAAGAATAAGTGGACAGAAAAAAAGCTAAGCATATTGTAATGTTTTTTTGTTGATGCTTATTCTTGTAGTATTCAAATTACAACGTCCATATACCCCGTGCCATGTGTAAATAGCGAGAATCAGATGGCAGATTGGTTTAAGAGTCTTGCCGAATGCCTTCACTGGAATGTTCGTCAACGACAACGCCAACTGTCAATAACAGATTGCCACGTTTAACACAGAAACACACTGAAGGAACTTCGAGCATAGAGGACTGCGGCCGGCCGGTGGCATGGAGAACGCCAGAAAACTAATCGACTAAATTCGCAAATCAACGACCCTGTGTAAATCTAGCTTAAAGTCTGAAGGTTTTGTAGTAACGGGCCACCAAACTAGTTTAACGAAACGGAGCTCTTCTTAATATTTTTTTTTGACCGACGCCTTATGTCACCCCTCTTCTATTTTGTTATTTGCCTTTCTTCTAACCTCCATCTCCGACCACTTATCCCAAATTGCTATCTAAACTGTTCACAGTCCTCTGTTTTTCCGTCAGATCGTCAAGATCCATCTTTTGCGCTACGGGCTGCCATCTTGCATGAGTGTCAAAACTTCTTAGGGGCGGGGGCGTCCACCCCCTCGGTACATTTGAAAACCAAGATGGCCGCCATTAACGGTAAGACGCGCTATATCTCGACGATCTCACGAAAAAATAGGGGACTGTGAACAGTCTAATTACTATCTCGGCATTTTTATTACTATTCGATTTAACTTTTCTATTAGGTTTATAATCAGAAGCTACTTTTGAACCTAATGAGATGGCATTTTTATCGTTCAGTACTTTAAATTTATTTTTTTGCACGAAAGCCTCAACATTGAGAATATTTTATAGAAGGATGCATGAGGACTTCCTCTCTTAAGATATTGAACCTTTTCCAAAACAAAGTGTCGAGTACTTCCAGTTTGGAAATTACTCTTCAAAATTTTCTCTCTAGTGATGAATACTGTAAGTAATAGGTATATAATAATGTACCCAAAAGTATAATGTTATCGGTGGGGTTATTTAAATAAACATAAATTAAAGGGCTGCGTTTTTTCGTATCTCAGTTTTGTACTTGTACAATACAATACATAGCACTAGCTGTTGATGGTGATATCACCATATCAGGATCTATAATTATTACTTGAGAATAAATTGTGTTTTCGAACATTTACTTAAAGTTGTTTCCATCTTTTAAATTGTTATTGGCTGTGTTGGACCATTGGGAATTAGCGCTCTATAAATATTGTATATTGTATATATTTTTCACTAGGACAATTTTAACTAGATAAAGCCGGAAAAGTCCGGAAATACAGTGAAAACACCTCGTCTTGGTTTTAGCTAGTTAAAAAATGCAAGCCGTTTTCACAAGCAAAAACAAGGGATTTTTTCGCCTTTACGAGCGGAAACTGACGCAAAGTTATACTACCTCGCGAGATGGTATAACTTGTCCTGATAAACGCCGTAGCCAATCGGGTCGCGCGTAGTTACAGATGCCTGCCAAATAATCTGGTAATAATTATTTTCCAGACTCTTACCTCTTTGTTGAGCTTGAGAAATTCAACATGGGAGAGAATTCCAACAGTTATTTCTTTCGATTTACAATCCCACCGACCCCATTGGATTCTCAATTTCTTCGGCCTGGGGCCCGTTTCTCGAAAGTCCCGGTAACTTTTCGGGCCCGAAATCAAACCTTCAAATCGAAATATAAAGAATAAGAGAGCAGGTCCTGGCTAGCAGACTACCCCATTTTGTCTGATAGTTTTATCATGTTAGATCAAAACTATTGAAACTTCGATCTTTAATGTAAACGGAGACCGCTTACCGGGCCCGTTAATTATCGGGACTTTCGAGAAACGGGCCCCTGCAGGTCCTTAAACCAGAATTGTGGTCTTGGATAAACCCACATAGTCTTGCGCTTATCCCAGTTATGGCACTGAATGTTGTTTCGTTGCTCGGGGGGGTACTCCCATACATTACCCATACGGGTATGTGCCGCCCAACGGGGTCGTGATTTTGAAGCTCCTGATATTTAGAACGGGGTATCCATTTCAGAGGCGTTTTCTAGAACGGGGTGTAAAAAATTGTGGATCACGGCTTTATCTTCTGCTTAAAGTTGTTGATGATTATCAAGAAGCATTTATTTGGTGTATAAATCGAACAAATAAATAAATATCTTTTAAAAAAACAGGGCTATTTTACTTTACAAACTTTCTAGAACGGAGTATAAAAAATTGGCCCATTTCTAGAACGGAGTATCAGTTTTAGGGCGAATTCTAGAACGGGGTATAAAAAATTGGCCTATTTCAAGAAAGGGGTATCAATTGTAGGGGATTTTTTTTTTGAACGGGGTGCCAATTTGGAGTCCCGGGCGGCACATAGCCACCCAAAAAATACCCATTTCCCCCCCCCCCCGGTTTCGTTGTTGGATTGACAGAATTAAAAGATTTCGTGGCATCTTCCTCATTTGAAAGGACATAAGCCTCATTTGCTGAATACAACTCCTTCTCCCTCGGAAAAATACAGCGCAAATAATCACAAGAGAAGTCCGGCATTACAAGCACTTCGTCCCCTTTCAATTTTTATTGTGGCGCGCTTTTAGGCCTTTCCCGATTGCGCTGAGCACCTTTTGAGCACTTTTTTGAGTTTGGAGCACTATTTTGCATTTTGAGCACCCTTAAGCACTTTTCCGCACTTTGGGCAACATTTGAGCAATATTTCACATTTCGAGCAAATTTCGAGCAACATATGTCTTCTAAAAAATTTTAAAGCCAAAACTGTGTGTCGCTCGCAACGAGAATCGTGTTCCAGGTCATAAATTTGAATAACTAATGATGTTGTCAAGAATAAAAGACCGTTGTCATGGAAAGGTACGTGAATCCTCACTGAGCGTGAGTACAGAAGTTTCTGATTGGCTGATGTATCATGCGTGTGTCATCTCAAATTTCTAAATCATCTGATGCTAGCACTGCTGAATTTATTTACAATTCGTAACCGGCTTTAGTTTTTTAAAAATATTATTGTTCTATATTCTATCAACCTTTCGTAACAACCTGTCGAATAACACTCGCAAAATAGATTGTTAATTACTTCAGTAAAAATTGACATATTTACGAAAAGCTTAGAGGTAACTGTTCACAACTTTTAGCACTTTTTGAGCACTATTTCGAGATTTTGAGCACTTTTTGAGCACTTTTTAGTCATTTTTGCCAGCACTTTTTTAGGATTTTACGAGCGCAATCGGGAAAGGCCTACGCGCTTTTGCAATAAGGGCGTAAGGGTGTAAAGGCTGTAAGGCTGTAACGGCTGTAAGCGTGTAAGGGTGTAAGGGCGTAAGGCTGTAAGGCTGTAAGGCTGTAAGTGCTCTATGCTATCCTTTCAAAAGTATACAGCCTCTCCAAATCGCTTAAAAGAGCCAATAGTAAATAGGGGAAACTGTGTTTGGTATGGCAGGTGCCTTATGGGCAACGTAAGCGATTTGCATTTTTGTATCAAAGCAAGCGCGGAAAAAAAAAAGTCATAAAAGGCTAAAAACAACTTGCTTTTTGCACTTAAAAATATATTGCCGTATGGTTGTTGTGCATTTCGGGCAAAATATCCTGTTCACCCTTCTTGGCTAATAAACCATATTAAACCAATAATGCTGTTGCCATGACAACAGCCATGAGCCTTCAAGAAGTCATGGGCTCCTTCCACAAACGGGTTACGTACGCCATTTTGTCTATTGTCATTGTTGCGTTGATAAAAAAAGAGTAAAGCGTCACATTATAGCTCGCATTATAATCTGAAACTGCTGTACGGGTGTAAGGGTCCTTTACACGAGCCCTTACACCAAAAATCCATTCGTAATTCATGGCTGGTATAGACTGTTCGTTTGCGAGACACGGAGGCACCAAATCATCTAGCACTGCAAAGGTATGCAAGATTTTACTAAACAGTGTCTAAAGTGTAGAATTTGTTTTCCACCGCATCCGAGAAGAGGTTATGAGCTTTAGCTCGGATTTGCGGTCGTGCGCACGATGCTAAAGGTGGCGCCTTCATGCTAGTTTAAATGACAGCAACTACCTACAGAAGAATACTGAGATGATAAGAAGCTCTAAGTAGATTTCAAGACTTTCAAGAGGCTGTCGCTGTGCATGACCAGAAGCTAAAACTTAGTACTCAAGCATAAGGTGTTTATTCGCCGGTATGCCCTCTGGGTACAAGTCAAGACGTTCTTACATTATTAACATGCCTGCAGATTTAGCTAAATAACTCTGAATGTGTGTGAAGTCTCAAACGATACAAATGGGATTACAACGAAGAAATATGACGAATCATTTAACACGTGTTGTACTTCTACACGCATGCAGGGAAACGGAATGAATGGTATTCGCTTCCGTTGACCATATGTCTAATAATACATGTAATGACGTGAGATTTGGTATTTGTTATCTAGTGAAAGCTTGCAGGAAAGAAACTTTTTTTTTTCAAAACTTATACGCTGAATGCACTGATTATCCCGTCATCACATTATACAAGTTATAAAAATGGCAACTTTCCATCTTTTTGAAGGATTTTTCTTTAGACTATTTCCTTGAAGTGAGATTTCCGGAAAGAAGAAACTCGATTTGCAGTTCTTCAAGAATTGATGATCGATTCATTTGTTTATTGTAAAAGCAAACGAATAATTATTAATAATATATCCTTCTACGCTGTGAATTAAATGAATGAAAGAAAACAGTAAATAAAGATACCTATCAAATAATAGAAAAGATGTAAGATTTAGGAAGGATAGAAGAATAAAAGAAATTTGGTACTCTTACCACCTAAACATGACCTAAAATTGCTTTGACTAATCATGATCAACACACTATTAAATGTCCTTTCTCTTTCTCTCTTTTTTTAAATCTGTTTCCTTTTTATCAAGCTTAATTGTCTTCGATTATAATAATAGTATTAAATCGGATGAGAAACTGACAATTTTCAATTCTGATGTTTTCGAATACCGCTTCGCGCTGAATTTCTCAGACGGATGAAATCGATGTGAATTTTTCTACACTTATCGACAGCTTCCATTCACTTTCCCCCAACGCTGAATGTCACCTTCTCGATACAATCGTTCGGTTTTCGTGACAATCATAAGTATTCGAGTGGAAATCCTTGTAATGCACACAAGATTTGTCACTTGTTATCTATCTCGCCTTCGTAATTTTCCCGATAACACAAGGTCAAAATAATCATAAAAAAGAACGTTATCCTATAATTTGAAAGCAACATTTTAATTACATGCAGGCCGGCAACAAGTTTTATCCATGATAGAACCCTTAACCTTTTTCCACAAATTTTTTCCGAAGAGGTCTATTTCAAGGAGTAAACGACTTCAAAATTAAAAGACTTAAAATGTCGTGGAATTTTTTGAGGCGGCGACAGTCTTGCGTAACGTGACTAAAATCCGCGGATCCCATTTCCTTTCGAGGCGTAGGGTAGTGATTGCGTGTCGGGATGGGAGGGGAAGGTTGCATTCTTGACACATTACTCATGTTAAGAGTCAGAGTAGGTTCCTTTTTCATAATTGTGGTTAGTGTGTCATTTTTAGGATTGTTTGTTCTTATAAAATGAGCCAAACAAAATAAATTCCATTTCATGAAATTTCGTTTTAACCGTCGCTTCTTCTTTTTTTCACATTTATACTGATTATTTCAGTGGGTTATTTTTCTCCTTGGGCGCGGCACGTATTCGATCATACCACCAGGTTTTTTTTCTCATTAAAGGATCTTTCATAAAAAGATTGGAATGGCATAATTCTCTTCAAGGAATCGTGATCGATAACAGAATTGATCTGATTTACCAACTGCAGGATATGTTCAGTTTAGCATAGCTTATATCACTGGCCGTAAACAAAGCTCTTCTAGTAGTCAGTTATAAGTGTTTACACATTCTTCAACTTTTTGTCGTTGTGGCTGATAAAATGTTTTCATGGAGACAACAGTGTTTGTAACAAGGCACGCAATGTTTATGTCAGTCTTCACTATGTTCTTGTTAATAAGGTAATGATCGAATGACTCGGCCACTGAGGCCACACACATATTTTTTCTGCTGCACGGTTTTCAACATGCTAAGTGACCAAGAGAAATGATTGAACCTTTAGTTGATAATTATAGCCAATTAGATCCGGAAATATGTTCAAAGACATGAAATTACTGACTCTTAGCTGTTCTGAGGAACGAGCCGTTACAGCCGTTTGAGGAAGTCTTTGTTTCTTCTTCGCGATCACTGACCTGAAATACTTTCAATTCATAGGACGTGGACAAATTTCGCCTTCAGAAAGATAATCCTCTCACCGAACACGGAAAAACATAGAGTATAGCAAAAAGGCTTAACGCGTATCAAAACATCTGAACACTTCTTGAAAAACAATTTTATTCCTGTTAAGATCAAACAACTCATCACGGAAACAATCTCAATATAATCGTACACTTGTGAACAGTAGTCAAACTACGAGACTACGAGTAGTCCTGAGGAAAAATGGAGACTACTCATGGTCTATAGATACCATGATTGCCTTAAGTCTTCTTTGTCGAGCACCTGAGAACTTTGGGAAACATAATTTGTTTTTTGTATCAATGGTTAAGTTTCCGTGTCAGCTCCTTCGGATGTTTATGAAAAGAGGTCGGCTCTTTTTATTGACTTTGAGATAAATAAAGAATTCCACAAATAAACTCTCGGAAGCAAAACACCAGAATATCGACGAAAGCGATTCCTTCACGGGACCGCCGGGAATTTTACTAACTGCCGAAACGTGCCCTCAGGCCTAATCGACATATTTCCTAAACTAAATTAAATTCAGGCATGATATCTTGACCGTTATGAAATAGTATTCCCAAAACAACCTTTTTTCTCCAGTTAAAAGAAAAAAGGACCGTGATGCAGTTTGTTTCAGTCTTAATCAATTTCTAGTGTAGCTACGTTTCGGTGACTTTTTATGGACTAGACTATTAAGAAATTATACTATTGACTACTGAGACACGACACTTCCTGTTTTCACACTTGCTGACCGGCTTTTCAAAGTACAAAAGAATAAAACCCATCGGCAAAGAGAAAAAAAATACTACACAATATAAATGAAAGGAGAAGAGAAATAGCTTCCTATTGTTTCTCTTGTTGTTGTTGTTTTTGTTTTCCCTTTTGCTGGCTCTTTTTCTACTGAATAAAAAGGTGATTTAAACAGCTAAAAAAACTGCTTTCTCGGTAAAAGTTGACCCCACACAATGGAAGATTTCTTGCACGTTTGTTACAGGACGTAAACCTACGCTGAAAAGGAAAACGGTAATTTTTTATACCACAAAAACTAATCCTTTGGTTGGTAGTGTGGGAACTGGATCATTTCCATCCTTCAATAAGCCTTGTAAAGTAGCTGTCCTCATAACCAAAAGCTCTAAAAGCCTATGACTTCCCCGACTTAAATGTGCCGAATTTCACAAGTTTTTTTTTCCACTGCATTTCCGCGGGCAACCACCATGTCTTCAGCTGCGAAATCCTTGGGTCAAAAATGTAGTACCGAGTCCCTCACAGCCGCGATTCATTCTTCACTGGGTGTGTAATGACCGATTAAAACTGAAACACCTGAATTGAAAACCTGCTTATATGAAATGAACCTTAATGCAAAACTCAGAATGGACCCTTTGATAGACTTAGCTGGAATCAAGAGAGAATGAGTTAAAGTTCCCTCATTTTTTCTTGCTAGAATAAAACGTTTGAAGTGCCTCGAAGAACTGAAAACATAAATTCGTCTGAATGGCTGAGCAGCTTGGCAAGTGCATCATATAGGAACTTTTTTCAGCCAGACATGACGATACGCCGAAAAACCACACTATAAAAGCCGCTGTGGAGTATGCCTACAAGCGGATAGATCAGAGTACACTAATTAAAAAAAAACAGACAGAACATTATAACTGTAAAGCATATTTCAAATAATTTTTTTAAGATAACAGTGATAATAAGTGTACCTTTACGTCAAACAGAGCGCTTTCTTTTCTTCTTTTGAATTAGAGTCCCAAGTGAATAACGTCGGAACAAAAACATTCAAATCATGCATGAAATGGTGACGTCAAAATACTGTCTTTACCTCTAAAGAATTGTGTTGTTCTGTCGCTGTATGCTATCCAAAGCGAACATATTTTTACTGTCCTACGTTTGCCAGAAAAGGGGGGAAGTCGGCAAGTCAGAGGCGTGCGACAGGATAGCAGCGGATTAGCTACTGTCTTTGTTCCATGTAAGTGATCCTCTCAACACTATTAATCAATGTTATTCTAAAGCGCCATGGCGCTTAAACAATTTGATTTATCCGATAGCTTAGGCTGACTTAGAATGTAAGACAACCGAACGGTGATCGCGTTTTTCATGTTTACGTCGAGTCTTTTCTCAGGGCTCCCATTCAACTTGATTTCGTTTACGTAGGTGGGGCAGAAAGGGATAATTCCTTTATTAGCGTCAACGTTTGAGCTTTATAATTAGTTGGGTTCTGTCAACATAGTCAAAGCCAGGTATAGTATATACCTCACAAGGCAATGGTAGCTCGAATGAGCCTTCTTTTTAAGGTCTTTTTCATGGCAAAAGAGAGTTTTAGGTGAAATCAGTCAACAAATATAAAACTGGATCAAAAAAGGCCGCGAAATCCATAGGTTTTGCATTCACAACTTTTCCAATACTCGGGGTTTGTTTACTCTTTATTATGCTCGAGGTTGTGGCTCGCACAAGGGACCTACTGTTGTACATGAAAAAAAGTTTACAGAGCCCATGCTTTTGAAGTATCAAATCATCAAGTTTTAAGTCGAACTACGAGACAGTCTCAGTTCAGGTCAGAGACGTGCACCGCAGCGAATTCGTCTTAAAAGATGTGTCAGAGTTTCGCTCAATAATATTGTATTGACTTAGTGACACTGGACAATACCCAACCCTGATTCTCACTTCCTCCACAAAAATTACAATATGAAAGAAAAGTAATTCTCGATTTCTTTCAAATAGCGTCACTTGTTTGACTTACGAAAAATGGTTGCAAAATCATCAAGAAACCATATTAGCAAAAAAAGATCCGCGCTTGTTTGTGGACATAGCAATCATTATTTTGCAGTGAAGTTTTATTTACGGCAAAATCGCTTTGAAAGGATTAAGGGGGTACCTTATGTACTTTTTGGCGGCTTTCCGCACGATTGAGTTATTTGGATTCTAGAGATTTGTCATATCTGTTAATAGACCAGCCCGCGCCGTTTAATTAATAACGCAACTCTGTTGTCCGTGTGTCCAATGAAATGGAAGTCAAATAATCAAGTAAATACAACTAGACATTTCCTTGACAGATTCATTGTTTATTTTCGTTGCCATGCGCATAACATCACTCTTTGAGTTTCTGTCCACGACTGAAGTGTGCAAAATAAAAATTATGCTACAAATGTAAGAGACATCTCGGTGCTCCCTTTTTGAGCCCAGTTTTTAGATGTTTATCGAGAGAGGGTCTGGGTCAAAAATAGCGATACGTACGTCCTTAAAGCAATTGATTGAAGGGTCCTTGGGCGCCAAGGATATCCGGTGACTTCGTAGATAGATGACCAGAGGAGCGAGCTGTCCGTAGTGTGTACATTCCGCAAGCATCTCAAATGTTCAACCTGTGTGGCTCGTATTTCAATTGTGAGCGTGCTGAGGACAGTAATGTTTGCTTCTTGAAGCGGAGAATGAGTAATGTTGCGTGGAGCAAAAACGATGAACGCTGAAGAGTTTTATGAGGGACTCTCTGCCCAAGATAAAGTTGCAGGTAGTGTTTGCTAGTGCGGACATATCAGTGTTGCGTATTTTAATATTTTAAACCTGTTGATACAGAACCCGCACGCTTTTGTAGTATCATTCGCGCACCGTATGCAGGTTATTCATCATTCACAGCGAGTCACTGCTGTGTACAAAATATTCTTAGCTTCTTAGCTTTCTTAGCTAGTACATTTAGGGAAAGTCTAATTAGGTTGTTCTACGAAGCGAATCAATTATCACAAGCAATAACTTTAGCGACGCTTTTAATTTCGCAGTGATAAAATTTGCCTTGCCTGGTATCGACACGTTTTTAGAAGACGTTTTAGAGCAAGAAAACCTCAGCGAGAAAGGAGAGAAAATACGGCTCGACTTTGTGAAGATTTTCGACGAACTCGGGTCAACTGCACACGTGAGAGAAATTGTTACTTCACAGAATAGCGAGCAAAAACAATCGCCAGGAACTTGTAGGAGGCGGTCAAGGGATGACGACCTTTACACAACACACAGTTATGAAATACAAACGCATTGGGATGAGCGAGAAACAGCTGTTGTAGAAGACAAGGTATTTATTTATTTAAATATTTAATTTTTTTTCGATATGCTTGTTTCGAGTTATCACAAACTCTGGTATAGCGTGAGTAATCGCGCGCTTTAACTCACTACAAATCCCTAAATAAAAAACGTAAATTAAGTTCAGATGTGCGAGGTTACTTCGCAACCCTCACATGAACTCTGCCTTGCACATGTTTTTATCCTCCTCGACAATCGCAGTAGTTGGTCGTTTTTTTCCCCGAAGGTATTTTTTTAAGCTCTTTGCGGAGCGATTGCTGTTTTGAGTGACATTGACCTGTTTGACAATATCAAGAACCGCAATTCCGATAGGACAATTATCTTATTCGGTCGTTGATCGGATAGGAAACCAACTAACCTTTGCTAATAGTTTCCCACCGTCGAAAAACAAGCCTGGGAAAAGATGGTTTGCAAGATGGCAAATTCCTAAACTTGTATGTAAGCGATTCGCTTAGCCTGTTTCCCTTTGGTAATGCGTTCAAAGGAAGTGGGCCAATTATCGAAATTGTTCGCAGGAAACATAAAATTTACAAATTTATGTGGGTTTCCCGGCCTCCTTATTGTTATTTCTTCATTCTTTACTCAGGGAAAATACCTTTAACGTGGAGGTTATTTTTGTACCATATTGATCAAATTTTGTAGTGTTCAACTTTAACATAGAAGTACATTAAAATTAATACCAAGTACTAAAAAACGTGTTCCAGAGGAATGCATTTCAGATCGAATATTGCGTTGGTTGTGGACCGCGAATGGAATATTTCCGCTTTAGAATATTTCGAGCAAATTATTTCAAATTTTGTGCACGTAGCAGCCCTTTGTTTAGTATAACTGAGAGACATTCATTCATTCATTTCATATCGGTTGGATCGATTTCTGTTTGTATTAGTATTGTGTTTATCTCCGATAGACATAGCTTGTGTGGTTCACGCAACCCTGACCTTTGCGAGAACAATAAAAAGGGATTTATTTATAATTAATTTTCAATCAAAAGATTTACTTCAATGGAAGTTCAAGGAAAGTTGCTTGTGGTTAAGGTGGAAGAAAATTGATTGTTGAATGTGCTCGTGATTGCGCGGTAGGAGTTTTTGTTTAGAACATATATTTTTTCGCTTGAGAAACTTTGCACTGTCGCTTGGCCCAAAGGCTCCGGCCCAGTGCTGAGACAGAAAGATTAACCCAGTTAATCATCCTGTTAATCGTGGTTTTCGGCGCTTTTTGAGTTTTTCTTTTTAAGAAAGGGAAGCCCGAGATGTGATTACTGTTTTTTTCTTGGGCCTCCTTTTCTTGAATCCTCCTGCGATTGTAATTTGAACGTTTTCCCTTGAAAGGCTTCTTATTTGATGAAAGCGATACATATCATTAGTCTGGAATACTGAAATAATAACATTTCTAACAACAGGGTTAAACTAATATAACAAAAATTATATTAATTTAATAACTTGCCTTCTTGACTCCTGAAAAACGGTGCGTGGTTTTTATATTGACAAAATAATTATTAACTGCTAGGGCAATATCAGAAAATTCTTCTTGACTCAGTGATACAGCATTTTATTGCCAAATTATTTTAAACTTTGGCTAATTAAAGCTACACTTAAACCAAGAAAAATTGTGAAGTTAAAATATCAAAGAGTTCTAACTTGGATTTTAATAAACATTGTGTTTTGAAAGAAATTATTTTTATTTATTGTTTTTAGAAGGAGTGACTGTGAAAAAAGATTTTGTACCATTTTCAGTTAGTTAGAACTTATGCTCTCATTACACATATTGCATTTCTTACAAAAATATTTATGCTAAGCTTTCAAGATACAGAAGATACTTGCCTCCATAATCAATCACAAGGTCAAAGAGTAACTTATACTAGTAACATACTTGTTCAGTGGTGTGATAGTCTGTCGCATTCTGTGCATAACATACACAATACTGGAATATTACTGATCTACCATATATGTTGTTGACAATTGAGTCATTCAGCTGCAGTTAATTGATTGTGTACTGTTTCAGCATTTGCTTTTAAAAAATCACTAACCTGCAGTCACGTCCTCTCTATACCTCTATATATATGTGTCTCGCAAGTTAGTGTAGATAATTGTGGGGCAGTGAAATAGGACTCAAGTAAGGTCTACATGCAGGAACCCTTGCTGCATCTAGTCAATAGCAAGCCTTCTGCTCTAAAAGGAAACTGTAAGGAGCCCAATGTTCTGAAGCCGTGAAATCCAGGGTGCCCTGTATATGATCTTAATGCAATGCAAATTCCCTAGTTGCCCAAGAGCAAAAGTTAGGCACAAGGGGCCTTTGAGCTAGTGCACAGCCCTGAATAAACTCCACTGTATCGTTCTACACATATAAACATAGCTGTATCTTTCTAGTTTTGGGAAGCTCCTTATTTCATACCAAAATTTACATGTACGTTGTCTACTAGACTTCAAACATGTTTTTGCCGGGCTTTAAACATGCAGAAAGTCCAACTGAAAAAAAGAAAAACTGTGTAATTGAACCTCCATAAGGTGATGAAGCTGCTACCCTCAGGGTACCAGCAAGTGGCCACTTAATGGAGGTTGGCCGCTCAATAGAGATTCATCATAAATAATAAAAAAAAATTAGCATAATCTTTAGCAGAAACATCACTTTGTTTTGAAACAAACGTGTGACGGGAGAAGTGTTGCAGGTCCAAAATTGGTCATCGCCTTCTATCTCGACCAGACTGTATTTTCCTTCTCCATATTCTTGAGATAAAGCCAAACTAATAAATTATTGTATCTAGCGACTGTTGGTTTAAGCAAACTTCCTTTGGTGATATGGTTTTGTAAGGTAAATCCGGCTGACCTCAAGGTTATCTTATATTCACTGTCTGATCTGATCAGATTCAGGAAATACACTTATAATATTAAAGTGATAAAGTTCTAAATAACTGAGTATTATTTAATCTTGTCTCATCATTTCTAACGCATCATCTTACTTGTTGATTACTGTATACAGTTACTAAGGGTAAATACCATTCACCAGCAGGAAAGTTCCAACAATTCACTATGCCGAAAAGGAACAGATAGCACGGAGGAGAGTGGCATCTTCCTACACAGTTCATCATTTCCACAGTCAGATGAAACAGTGCTTAAAAATACCCTCAATCTACCTATGTTAGATTCAGTAGATGCCTGGTCAAGAGACTCGATCATTTCAGACACTGGCAGCGCAGAGTTCGAACTCCTTGATGCCTGGGAAAGTGATGCAAATGGAAACGAGGAAGGCTATTTCACAGAAGACAATGTTTTTGTTGACTACTCAGTTCACAAACTTGACCTACAGCCAAATGAGTTGGGAGATTTCCATAGTGGTGTTCTGTATATAAGGGAACATCCTGGCTGGCATAAAAGATGGTTTACTATTAACAGTCACTGCTTAACATGTTTTCGACACCGTTCAGAGACTAAGATGTTGTTTCAAATCCCACTGAGGGGTGCAAGAATCATTCCAACGGACAGAAAGAAAAGTCGCATGTTCCCAATTACTTTGTCTATTCCTAGAATACGTGAGACTATCACTTTTGCAACAACAGAAGAACGTTCTAGGCAAGAGTGGGCTTATGCTGTGAGTTATGTTATTTCGAGACTTGCTGAGGATGAGGATAGTCCTGACTTACCGGAAAGCCACTCATTTGTTTCTTTTGATACGTACCTCAAACTTGTAGGGAAAGAATCAGATCCAGATAGAAATAGGCTTAGCATTGAAGCACTTGAACAATCTCGACAAAGAAAGCTCTCAGGCTGTCTCGATATTCCCAAAGTGGTGGAACCTCATTGTGTTAGTAAGAAAGAAGGCAAGGAGAGTACACATTCAAATATGTTTGACTCATCTTTGGCTCAGTGGAAAATTGGACTTGATGATGAAGATGAGGTGCTTGTAATGGACGATGATCTTGCTCCAGGTCTGAATGAAGAGGAATCATTTAAGGAGCTGCAAGAGGTATAATTTTACTGAGAATGAGATTTAATAATAGCTAATATTCTACCTAGAAAAGCAACATAACCTGCAGACTTGCCCACAAGTGGACTTTTTATAGCAAAAAGTCAGCTAAAATGAGCAAGACATAAGCTGCCTCACTCAGGTTCTGACACTACCAAATGATTTATGATATTTGTTATTGTATTAGTGAGTTTTAGGGTAGCTATGATTACAACAATTGCAATCACATTTTAGTAATAAATGCATCTCTTTAACAAATATGGAAGGTTTCCATAAGATTACTAAGGTAACTGCAATCATTTAGTTCACTGGACTTTTTTTAGTGATCAAATTACCAAGGTTTTGTTGAAAAAAATTGAGGGGACAATTGAAATGGAATTGACAATGTGGATCGCTAACATTCAAACTTACTTCTCACTTAGGGCAAAATGTTGGCTTAGGGGAGGGGTAGGTGAGCAGTTTCCCCGAAATGTGTAATGATCCGACAATGCACACCTTTAATAATTATCCGTGTGTGTATTGCCATTTTGCAGATACTTCCAGGTATTATACAAGGATGTAAGATGTCAAGTACTGGAGGGAAAAAGAAAAAGAAGGTCACCAAAGCTAACTCCTTAGGAAAAGTTGGTAAGTTAGAAAAATTGTTGATAGGGGTGCTGACTGTGAGCACAGAACTTGTTTACTTTCCATACTGGTAGCATCACGCTCGGTTGAGTGCCCTGTGAACAGGGTTTTCTTTACAGTGTTGCTTCATAACTGTAATTTCAATAAATTTATTTGATTAATTTAATTTTGTAATTTACTGTAGGTTCAGAAATCAGGACCGGAATTAGCTTCATGTCCATGACTAATAGTGAAGGGAAGTCATCTTCAACCTCTGATCTTCAAATTCCTGACTCAAAAGTGAAAAGACATGGCTCCTTAGTGAATTCTTTGTCATCTAAAGCCATGCGTGTAAAATCCAGGATAACAGGATCTTTCTTTAGTAAAGGTACGTTGTTTGATTACCAGGGTTCTCGTTATTAAAAGTCTAGAAGGGTCTGGGATGTATAAGTAGGCGGCTCTCAGGTAACTGAGCGCTCTTTTGGCAATGTCATATTATATTACACTGAGACGTTAGGTATTTTATCTGGTACTGATAAATGGTAAAGAAAAGTAATACATGAAATGAAAAACATATTTAATGTTTTAATACACTTAGGTCGCAAAGACGACAAAAGCCCGCGCGATTTGTCATCATTTCAAAGTACCACATTCTCTGGATACTTACTTCGAAAGAAAGGACTAAACTGGAAAAATCGTTGGTGTGTAGTAAAGGAACATCGGCTTTTCTGCTACAAAGACTTCGGCATCGGTACAGCGGAGCTGGAAGTCCCTTTACAAGACACTTCAATAAGAACATTGGAAGAAAACGATCCAGAAAAACCACACATGTTTGTATTAGTTTGTGACAAGGAAGAGCTCTTTTTTGCTGCTGAAAATGAAGCTGAACTTGAGGAATGGATCACGGTTTTAAAGGATGAAATAGAGGCCAAAGAACGTTCATCTGGTGAGCAGTGTTTTATTTTAAGAGGAAATTTTCTGTTTTCTATAATCTATTTGATATTTAGGCTGTGGACTTCGAGCGATCGATCGCAGAAAAACAGCTGCCTAATTTAGGCCGAATTCGGCTTGAGAACAATTGCTCTCCTTAAAAGCAAGTCTCAATTTGTATGTTTTCTTATGTACTTACCTTTTAAGGTCCCTGTTTCAGCTTGTCAACGTTTGATAATTATGGTTAGGTTCATTTTTTTTTCGCTCACAATCAGATAATGTCGATAATCAACTTATCCTACTGTGCGTCTAGCTCAGCGTCTCCCTTCCCGTCCCCACTCCCTCGTATAATCAGTCTGTTTATCTGGGTTCATCTGGGTAAGCTTAAAGGGTGCGGTTCCGTTTTCGAATTTCCGAAAGGAGGGGTTTCTTTTCGGGATGGATGTTAGATATTCTTTCGTTGATGAAAAATTATATCGTGTGCTTCATATTACGTCCTGTAGATTAAAAATAGCCTAAAGAGAGCGGGAGGATACAGTGGTTCGCTCCGACTTCAATCCTCGTCTATGTGTTCAGTATCATCACGACATTATATCGCATTTGCAACATAGCATATCCACGCGAAACTCACTATGTGAGAATATCATTGCCTGCTTGTCCCCTCCCCGCTAAATATATATTTTCGTCAGAACTACCCTAACAATACACAGAGGTCATTATGATAAAGAATCAATTTCTTTGAAAATGTTTTTGGTGTAGCTCTTAATAACGTGTTCATTTAATAACGCTACTTTCTTTTTGACTCAAAGTCTTTTTGACTGCTATAAGAGCTACTGCCACGTGTTTTCGACATTATCCTCTAACATGGGACTCCTGATTGACAACTTTATTCTCTCAACTTCATTGATTGTTTGAAAGAGTACTGATATTATTTGAGGGTGGATTGTGAAATTAGTCAGGCCATAGAATGTGAATATAATATACAGTAAATTGGTACGTGACCATCGATTAAAACTTAAACACGTACAAGTAAACCAAAAAAAACTGTTAATACAGTGAAGATCATTTAAACCGGACAGTTTAGACCGACGAAAATAAAATTTTCGCCCAATAGGATGAAGAAAAGGAAGAGAAATTTGGCCGCCTCAACCCGGCGACAACCAACACTTGTATCTTCTTAATTAAGAAACGGAATGACGTAAGTGTACACATCGGAGCCGCGTAAGTGACGACAAACCGACCGGAACTGGCGTGAACCTACGCTGTGTATATATATAAACGAACAAAAGTGTAACCGACCATTTCAACAGCACAGAAATAACGAACTAAATTATGTCACGTATATAACAACAGCTATCAAACATTTTGGCCTTAAAATGTTCGTTGTAATGAGATTACAGTTTGCTAAACCCTTCGCGAAATCTTGCCTCGCAGCTTCCCTTGGAGACCCAGCGGAGAGAAACCAGTCAACGGCTTCTTTATCAGCGAAACGCTCTGATCTGACCTCTTTAGGGAGCCCTTCATTGTCGGAGAACAAAGCCAAGGAATCTGGTAAAAGAAGCAAGGATCTTTCACCTGTTATTGGCAAAAAGTCGTCTATTCTCAGTTCTTTAGGCCATAAACTAACCAAGTCAAAACCTAAAGATGTTCCCAGTGGCTCGCTTCACATTCCTCCTGCAGATCTTAGCGCAAGTAACAGCATCGAAGATGGGTTCGTTGTAGTTAAACATGCATCTAACGTTGACGGCAACCAAGGTAAGCCGGGTTTTAATGGTCTTATTAAAAAAGGGTAAACAGAAAACTGGTTTTACAGCGTACCGCAACTTCTTTTTCTCGTGAAAATGTGTCTCAGATTTATCACGAAAAGGTTGGGAATGGCATGAACTTACTTAATAGCAAATTTTAGCAAAAAACCGGGTTAACCTGGCGAGTGACTTAGTTTGACATCCTTTTTCTAAGGTCACCTTTTCCGTTCGGTACAAAATAAGAGAGACAGTTCTGTCCATTAATTATATGATAGACCAGGTTAAATTTGTTTTTTTTAATTGATCAGCACTACCTCCGATACTAAAGGGGTAAAAATTGTGCACAGTTAAACGCATTGGGAAACAGAGATGTCACACGTGAAAGAATTCAAGAGTCAAGATTTTTCGAGAGTTTCGCGTTAAATCCTTTGCCTTCCCTTTTCGTGTTAATTCGGCATCACATTAGCACCGTAATTATTCAAGCGCAACAAAACATGGGCCTGGTGAGTACGTGACAAATGGAACGACGCCAACGCACGTCAGTATTGTTCCGTGTCCTTCTCGCATTCTCAGCCCACCTGTTGAACAGTTGTGTCTGGTTGAGGGAGTTAAAAGTCTTCTCTCCTTCTGTTTGTTTTGTTTTCTTTTTTCTTTTTTTCATTTTTCTTTTTTTTTTCTGATTTATTTTAATTTCTTTTTGTTTTGTTTTTTTTTGTTGTTTTTTTCTAAATGATATTGCTTTTATCAGTGCTAGATATTTGTACCGTTAGCTTGAAATTTACTCTAAAAGTTGTGTACAGGAGTGAAACTTTTTGTAAAAATTATTTTCTGCGAAAAAAAAAACAAAACAAAGAAGTTAAAGGGAAAAGGGAAACTTTTGTCTGATAACCTTGCAGTGTAAACCGACGTGACCTTCTTTAATGCAGGACAAGCGAAGCATAAAATTTGGCTTATTAAGTTCCATCGCGTCTCTGTTGAAAAGAACTTACGTTGATACCGGCTTATTGCACGAGATGTACTACTTCTTTTAATCTAAATTTTACACGCGATTACTTGATCGAGTAAATACCGTTGATAAAACAGCGATATAATCTACATCAAGCATTCTGTAAATCTCTTTATATAAGGGGTAACAATTTCTCGGTAATTTTTCCCTTCAGTAAAAGCCATTAATCCAGTCACTTCAAACACGCGTGTACATACGTCATAAGCTTTTTATTTTGTGATTTTCTTTATTCCAGGTGACTCAACTGTAACAGAAAAACCCAGTGAAGTTGAAAGGCTTAAAGTGTCCTCTTCTCATTCCATGGAAGGTTTTCTAAATCAACGTGTAGAAGAGGACACATGGCTAAAATGTTGGGTAAGTCAGCTTGCTCTCTCGTCTTTTCTTCCGTCCTTCTTGTTGCGATGTTGTAAGGACGCTGCTTGACTGTATTTGTCACCTTTTTTGATGTGCGTAACGTGGTCAATTTTCTTAATCAACTTAAAGGGAAAATAATTATCTATACAACATTTTGCCCGCTGTGCTTTTGTTAAATTATATTTTAGTTTGAAAGCTTCAATGTTTTGATGTTACGGGACCTTGTGACTGGAGTTATCATTCAAGTATTAACTTGATCTAAGTCCGAGGAGTGAGAATATAAGAATCTTAGTTCGCACAAAGTTGCAACCTTTTCAAAAGATTAAACTGTTTACTTTGTAGGTTAAATTGTTTCTCGCTTTCACTAGAGTCAGTCAAAATTGATATAGTAGGGTACATATGTGGGAGTGTCACATGTTGACGTTAACTTAGCTCTATTAAGGATTAAAAAGGTTGTAAACTTGTACTCAAAATTGTAATATGAACGGCATTTTATTTTGCGTAATAACCCGTTATCTTCGTGCTGAACATTATAACAACAGTTTCAGGGTCATTATCATAGCATTCATACTTGTTTGACTGATAATTTGCATCTGCATACTGATGATGAAGCTAATTTGGTACCAGAACGTTATTGGTTATTATTATTATTATGTGTAGCCAACTGACAGGGTACACCTCTAATGATCGTTGTTCTTTTCTTTTAAGGTGAAGCTTGAAAACCACATGCTTAAAATTCACGACGAGAAAGACAGTACAGAATCGGTAGTGGTTAAGATCAAGCTAAGTAACTGTGTTGTGAAGGACTGGAGTGACGCACAACGGCCGTTTGTTATGGAGATTAAGAGAACCCTGGGTCGACCGCACTACTTACAAGCTGAGAACGAAACAGGTACTCATGCTTTGCTTATCGTCTTAGTCACACTGTAATCGCAAGCACCCTATCACCCTAAGACTTGTGCATCTCCAAGGCCCTTTGTGTACTGAATAAACTCACAGTCATGCTTGTGTACCCTGTTACAGAGTACCTTAAGTGGAAGTCGTCGATTAGTGGATCAGTAGTACATTCACCTAAAGTTAATCGCAGACCAGTTCTAACCTGGAGCTCTTTAGAGTACGACAAAACAAACCATAGACCTGCCACCTCGCTGCTGCTGAAATCAGACTCGGTTGATAGAGATGAAGTATTTCAAAATTCAGAAGAGACAGCTGTATCACATGCAGCACATCCTGTACGACCCAACACTCCTCAGAATCCATCACCACGGGTAAGAAGTCATGGTTCTTTCGTTAGTAGGGCCATTTTCAACTCAAGTTAGGATTTAATTCGCAATATTTCTTTCTGGCTTTGCATTGATTTGATTGGGTGTCTGACAAAAAAAATATGGTATTGTTTCACTTAATCAACCAGGCACAAGTGATACCGCAACTAGACTGAATCTGACTCTTTACCGTACACTTGGCCTGGATAAAACAGTATTGCTGTTTCATTATTTTCATCGTTGGGTAAACTAACAAACAGTTCTTTTCATATTGCAGCCATCTACGGCCGGTGACGTGTCCAACTCAGAGAGTGATGATGGTGAAACCGCTGAACAAGCCAAACCGCAAGCTACTGAGGAACCAGTGGAGAGATGGCGATCGTTTTCTGAAGGAGAACAGGTAGTTTGTCCCTGGTTTCATTTCTAGTGGTCCCACCGAGTCTTCAATTTCTACAATCCTTTTTATTGATTAATCATTAATACGATGAGAGGAGGTTGAAAAGCTTGACTTAAAAAACAGTTTGAAATTACAGTCAGTAAAAAACGAGCTTCTTCCTCAGGAACTGCCTCCATAGAAACCAGTGTAAATAGCTCTCCAGCTAAGTATTTTACGTGGGTTAAATTCCTTGTCGACCGGCTTTTAGCGTTTTTAAAAGAGGAATGACCAACGTCGAGGCATAACGTGATACATGTTTGTAGCTGGTGTAATACGTCCCCCTTTTCTTAAGATGGCAAATAAGAGGCTGCTGGCCATGTATAAAGTTTGTAGTTTCTTTCTCTTGTTGTAGGAAAAATTTCGATAGCGAAGCAGTATTTTAACAAAGTAATTCTTGCAAAAATTCAAACCGGGAATAAGAACATTGCCGTTTAAGTGTCCTTGAATGACAAAAGAACTCAAAATTATTATTTTTAAAAAGATTATCTTTTTTTAAAAATCTAATTTACCGTTTTCCTTCCCTTCTCTATACAGGAAGAAGAAAGAAAGACAAGAACTAAACTTCATCGATCAATCTCTAATACTATCCCAGTTTTTCCGCGTTTTCCAGGCAAAAGAAAACGTCGTAGTCGAACTGTACCAAATGTTCAAGTGTCACAAGATCTTCTTGTCAATATCAAATACAGTTCATGCTTGTTCATGCGAAACGGTAAAGGTCTTTGGAGTAAACGATGGTGTGTGTTACAGGAGGATAGATTACATCTATTCAAGCGGCCAGATGAAGTTGTACCGGTCCTTACGATACCTCTTAAGCAATGTGAAGTGCGGCGAGCCAACAAAAAAACTAAAAAGTTCACTTTCGAAGTAAACGTTCCCTCATCGAGTGAGGATTACTGTTTTGCGGCTGATGACGAAAAGAAATTGTTAAGTTGGATGAGGATGTTGAGAGCGATAGCTGACGAAGAGGAAGAGGAAAAAAGGTTTGCACTTGAATGTAAATTCTTACTTTTAAATTCCCAACTTTATGCCGGATCCTCTAATATGATCGTTAAAAAGAAGATTCTGGCTGCTCAAGAATTTTCGTGCGGTGTTATTTGTTTAGTAGGTTCTTTAATTAATGACATTTGGGATTTGCGCTTATTTTGTTTCTATGCATTCTGTGAAGTTTAAGGTTACGTAGACAGATTGCTTTCAGTAAGTATTATTTCTTACGCGTAGTTCGTATAAAGCTTCATTTATTTTGAGATACTCGTCAGGTCGGTGGAAAATTTAATTCATTATGAACATGCATATTCATGACGCCGCCAATTTATGGTAGTGGTACGTGGTACGTGGTACGTGGTACGTACGTAAAAAAGTGTACATCTTGACTGCTTTGGAGCCGATGGGACTCATAATTTGCAAAGTCACCAGATAAAAGTGGACGTTTGCCAACAGTGTAGTTATTTTTTGGATACCTTTTAACCCTGGGGAAATACACTTTTATAAATCACACAAACCGGCAAAATTTGGAAAACTTGACTCTATGAACCACAAGGGTGCTCTTCGAATAAAACAATGAAAACATTACCAGTTGATTTTACTGAAAATGATCAGTCAACCCCCCCCCCCCCCCCCCCCCCCCCGGGTTTGGGTTTTTTAAGATTAAAAAACACAAAAAGGGGAAGGGTTTTAAAAATAAAAAATACCTTTCTCGTTTTGTTTTTTATTTTTTCCTATCTTTTCCTTATTTTTTGCCACCCTTTTTGTTCTTTAAAAGGTGTATTTTGCAAAAGTGTTGTTTTTTTTTTGTATTCTTTTAACCCTGGGGAAAAAACTTTTTAAAAAAAACAAAAACAAGAAAAATTTGTAAAACTTACCCTTATAAACCCAAAGGGGGCTTTTTAAAAAAAAAAAAAAAAAAAATTCCCTTTTATTTTATATAAAAATTACCGCCCCCCCCCCCCCCCCCCCCCCGCCTCCCCTGAGGTTTTGGTGTTTTACAAGTTAAACAATCACAGAGGTGTAAGTGATTTAAAGAGCAAAGTTTCCTTTCTGATAGTGTTTTCTATTTTTCCTGATCTATGCATGATATCTCGCACACTTGTTGATGTCATTCTTCGCACCTCCTCAACTACAACCATGTTATCATTGTTATCAGTAACTATTGAAACCACTTGTTCTTGAACAATGAATTTTTGTTCTGATTGTAATCTTTTATTCTTCTCCGCAGTTTTTCAAAGGAACATGGTGGATCTATAAACAGTGTGGCAGTGCAAGACACCCGCCAACACCACGAATCAGAGATTTCACAGCTTACAAGCCATTCTACAGCTGTCACTGAGCGAAATGATGACGAAACTCTTGAACCAGTTGCTAGTAATTCCGAGGATCTTTACGGAGAACAACTTACCGTAAGTGACAAGACTGAAGGGTCATCTTTACCAAGTCCCATCAGTCTCTCTGCTACCGTGAGGCCTACATCGCTGGATGGTGTACTCAAACTCCTTCAGGATCAGCAATTAATTCAACAACTTGGCCAACAAAAGTTCAACCAAGCTAAACGGGCTCAAAACGCGTGGCGAAGGTCAGCGGCTGCTGCGTTAAAAGAGCAGCGGTCTGGGTCCAGAACTGTAGATGTGGAGAAACCCGAGCCTACATTTCCAAGTACAGCGGTTGAATCAAGGAGGAGGACAAAGTCCATGTCAATGGCTCAATCACCATATAAGGATATAATTCCATCGTCACCTTACCAAGGAGCCAATGAAGTCATAGAACAATTTGAAAAACTCGCCGAGGAGGAGAAACTGAGGACTTTGAAAAAGGAAACATTGTTGAAAAAGAGACGAAATTCACTCACGCTTGAGAAAGATGTGTTGAAAAAGAAGATGTCTAAACAGAACGAAAAGAAAAACACTGTCAAAAAATTCCTAGGTAAAGATGAAATAACGAGCGTCGAGGACAAACATCGCGTCGAAGAAAGACTTCAGCAAGTAGATCAGGAATTGGCAAGCATCGAGAGAGACTTGATGGATAATAAAAAGAACGAAGCGCAAGTTTTGGACAATATTAATGTTATGAAAACAAAAACAGTGAGAAAGCTATCGTTTGTTAGCCGGCCGTCTTGCAACATGGCGGATCAAAGAAGAGAAGCGTACAAAAGTTCTCATTCCGAATCGTCATCTTCTCAAGGTTCCACAGAAGAAAGACCTGGTAAAGATTCACCAAAAGCACAACATTCATTTGAAGCTGCACGTAAGCAGAGCGCGGCTGTATCACTGGCTGTGCTCGAGAAAGAACTGAGAAAAATTTCTCCTGCTGGTGGCCGAAAATTAACACTTATCAATAATAACTACGTGAACAAAGAGATGAGGTCGGGACGAGTATCAGTGTCGTCAGAAGGCTCAGCTCCGGATGAATTCGCTCGTAAGGACTCGCCAATAACCAACAAGAAATGGACGACAGAAAAGCGAATGTCTTCTGGTTCCGATGGCTCCATCGGCGATCAGTCGTCTCTTCCGAAAGCAAGTTTCTCCGATAGCGCCGAGTTGAGGCGGAAAAGATATTCAGCATCTGGCTCACAAGTGGCATTTCACAATGTCTCTGTAGAAATTCCTACTGATGACGAAAACAAGCGGGAAGAAGGAAAGCAAAGGTTGTCCGTTACTTCCCAGAAAGGCCTGGATGAAGGAATGTCTCGAAAGTCGTCAGTTTCGTCAGAGAAAGGTTCTGAGGGCCACCGTGTCACGTTGATGAATGCCTTGTCGCAGATCAAGGTACGTGTCACATCTTTGTTAGATTGAGGCCAGTTATCCATTTTAAGAAAATGGGAGCCAACTATTATTTTCATTTACGTAGGTTTTGTAGTGCTGGAACTTAAAAACCTGTTCGCCACTCTGGGGTTGTCCCTGTTTATGGGCACTGAGAATTATCTTGTTCCACAGAAAAGAATAAATAATATGCGCAATAAATTTGACAAAATTTTAAAGGTTTAAAGGGCTGTTAACTGATTTACGGTATTCACCATTTTCTCGTAGATCATAATGCACCTTGTGTACCCCCCAAACTTTTGCATAACTATTGTCTTCGATTTTGATGTAATTTTTTTTTGGTGGGGGAGGGGGGGAGGAGTGGGGTGGTGGGGGGAACAAGGTGCATTATGGTCTATGTAAAAATGGTGAATGACCTGCTCTTGGGAATGTTTCCTTGTTGTCTTATTATTCGATTGAATCAATTTTATTCCCAAAGGGGAATCCGTACATTGATTGCAGTGGCCTGACGTACATTTGACTGAATCGGCTTTCTGTTTTCCAGGACTTTGAAGAATTTGCTGCTGTTTCTACAAGTGAAAGGTGGTCCAAATGAAGTGATGGTACGACGAAAGGCGATTCGCTTGAACCTCAGTTTAAAGTGAGAACTCCCTGTAGATACATGATGATCCAAAGCCAATTCAACTATTAATAATGATTTATGCTATTGAGACTATAAGATGTAAACTGATAACAAATTTAGTTAGGGTCAGATATGTTAGTGTTGTGATATGAAATACTGTTGATGATTTACGTTGCCTCTTAACCTTTGGTGATTCTGTTTTCATTTTCTGTTAGCGGATTGTAGTACAAGTTATAAAAAAACTCCAGATCCATTTTTTTCGACACGTACGGAATGCAACGTTTTAGTTTTATGCTCCTTTTCCATGAAAAGCCTGCCAAAGTACTATCACTATATACAGTGATGACACAACAAACCCATTTTGCGACGTGCCTTAATTTGTCAAAATGTTAATTAGGGCTTCACAATAGTGCACTCTGATGTATGACGTCTCCATGCATCACAGAAAGAGTACTGCAGCAATGTCAGATCAGTGCCAGAGTCGGGCTTAGCTAATTGATATTCTTACTCTCTAACGGTGAATGGGTATGTACTGTGCTTTTGCCTTTTTTTGTGTTTGTTAATGTTGTTGTTTTCGTAAAGAAAAGAGAAAGAATCGGTTGTTGTGGTCTAGGCCCTCTTGAATGCCACTTTGAAAGGAAATTTTTCTTGCTTCCTTTGTTAAGATATAGTCCTTCGTGGCCGTGTTCAAATCAGCTACGAAGGCTGTTCCTGATTATTCATAAGCTCATTTTCGGTAATACAACTCGAGATATTCTTCCTTTTGACACGGGTTTAGCCCTCGGGAACTGTCTTTATAGAGTCTACTTACCAAACTCTGTTAAAGGTATTGGTTAAAAAAGGATAAACATTATTGAATTGGACCATTACATATTTATTGAAACATTTTTGATATTCTCTTGCTGTAAATAACTTGGCTCGGCGTTAAATCAATACTTAATACGCATACGCAGGTAAAAATAATAATGTGTACGATAATTGTGAATTATTTTGTGAAATGACTTTTAATCTCACGAAGAAGAACCTATTTGATATAGATTTGATATGAGTATTACAAATGCGATATATGATAATAAAGACAGTTTATAGTATTTTGCTTTGGAATTCAGTTTTTACCCGTTCTTATGTGTAAAACTTTTGTGGGATCTTCAGTCAGTGCCGTTGAACCACATGTAGCCCAAGCTCAAAATATGAGCATCGGCATTGTTGCGTAACATTCGAAGAAACAATGCCGATGCTCATATTTCGAGCTTGTACTACCTGTGGTTGAACCTAATAAAAGTGCGCGAGCTTAATTGGCGCAGGTGGCTCACAGGGGGAGAACAAGCAAGCTCATACCACTGTCTCTTCCCCTGGCACGCAAACTGGTCCCCAGGGGACCCAAGACTTTTCCTTCGGAAGGAAGGGTAAAGACTCCTGGGGGACGGGGTTGCTTGCTACAGGGACCCCACCCTTTCTCTTGGATTTGGGTTCATCTGCAAATTTCCTTAGGGGCGGGTGGGGTGCAAATATACCCTGATTATGGTAGTCATTGATGAAACCCTGTACAGAACAGCTTCAGTGCCCTACTTTTGACATGTTTTGTAAAAATCGGAACGGAAAAACAAAAAAAAAGAAGGTTTTGGACTATTCGTAAGACTGTTTCAAGCATGGAAACTATGCGTACAAGTAGTCCATAAGCCTTTATAAAGTTGATTCATATACATTCATATATCAGCAAAGAATTCCACAAAACATTCCCTATCAATCTCGCAGTTGACAAACAAGAAATGTTGCGCTCCCTTCTTTTCGATTTTATTATATTTATACCAAACTACTTTATCATCATCACCACAGTTTTTTGAACCAACGACGTCAATAAATTAAATCAAATTAAAAGTAGACGCCTGTTAAAATAAACCCTATTACATAGCACGTGGCCAGCCAGACCCCAACCATCGTAACTGTATTTAGCATTGTTCTGTAGTCCTTGGGAATCAAATATCCGCTGATATCTATTGTAATATGAAATAAACAATAAGACAAGAACAAGTAAATTATGGTGGCCAAAGCAAAATTAAGCAGTGGATATTCCGGAATGAAGGAAATTAAAAACCTAGCATTGCCTTGGAGATAAATGTGCAACTGTGAGATGTAAGTTTCTAAGGTGATTTTTCCTAGCCAGGTAAACATGTGAAGGTAGTGTTTGCGAAGAAACGGGAACATGTTGCGCAGAAAGATGTAGGATAGCAATGGAATAAAAGAAAAGTATGGGTGTACCTTGTTATACTCGTACTTTTCACGCATAAATATGAACGTTACCCAAAACGTGAACGATAAAACGCAAATAAATGCGATCCCAGATCGTATTACTTTACGTTGGGCAATTGGCTTTTCATCCAGGTATCCCATGAACCTTTCAAAGTTGGGATGATAATATGCACAGAGCATGCCTAACAGTGTTGCGTAGTGGTCCAGTCCCGCTCGGAACATCCACTCATGAAGAGAGTTCTCGTAGTTAAGGATAAAGCTAAAAGGTTTAAAAAATATTTCACCAACTTCTGGCACATCAAACAACAGAAAAACGATAAGAAAATAGACAATAAATTTGACGGCCATCTTCTTGGGGTCCTCGTTCCAACTGTTCAGCAGTCTCATGAAGCAATATGTTGACAGGAACCAAAAGGTATGCATAGGACAGATGTAATATAACATATACTCGTTTCGTACTACAAAGCACGTGATCACAACCAGGAAATTCAGTCGAAAGAGCATCTTAAGGACACGATAAAGACTAAAGTCTTTTTTAATCCAGAAAAAGGAGAAATTACCTGCAGGATGAAAAAATATATGATGTCGTTTTATTAAGTTTATGTAAGCTAGGCATTAGACTCGTTAAAAATCACCTTTCATTTGTTGGAGAGGTTCATATTTTCGGCGTTTGGGAAGCTACAAAGTAAATTGAGAAAGGAACTTTACAAATCATTCTTCTCGATGTTCTTTCCGCATAGTTATAGTAAATGATCCCAACAGCTTTAAAAAGAGAAAGAGTTTGGGCGCTTAACGGATGTAAGATGGGAGGTGTCCGTTAACCCGGATGGTGAACATGTACAAAGTGGTCGTGTTTGATTAGTTAATATTTTTTAGAATGGTTGAACCTCTTGCGACACAAAATTGATTTTTTCCAGAGTGAGGAGGGGGGAGAAGGGGTGGGCTCGCTTATTGTATTATCTGATGATTGAATGGGTAATGAAAGTTACAGCATTCTATTCAGAAAGTAGCATCTTCAAAGTGACGATCAAGATTCAGTCAGATTCGTGCATTGGTACGGCATTGCAAAAGTACTTACCAAAACCCGTCATCCAGACGTATGCCGCTATGAATACTCTAATGGCGTTGTAAGTCTCGGCAGCTTTGAAGTAGTGATACCATACGAACATGACCTGCATCCAACCCTTCCATTCTTCAGTCTGCTCGCGGTTTAATATCTTGTCTGCAGTCTCTTTTCTGGTAAATCCAGCGGCCACTCCAAACAGGAGCAAGGTTAAAAAGAAAAAAAGGTCGCGAGAGTAAGTGCGCTCTGACGCTGGAAAGTAATGAGCGTCGTCGCACAAGAAGTAGAAGAACATAATGGCTCCAAAAACAGCCACAGAGGAAAGGAAATCGTCGAGTGACGGTGTTGTTGAAGCCTGAGTCTGCAATGCTGACTTCTTGTCTCCACTGTTCTCTTGAACGATGTTCACCAAGTGTTCTTTGGTGTCTAGAGATTCCTTTTGTTTTAAAATCTCACCGTTCTCTATCATAACCATATGGGTTTCTTTTGTAAGATCTTGAAATTAGAAAGAACGTGTAGGATCAATTAAAACAGGACACTGATGGCTGAGCGTTATACACTACAGATTATGAAATAACATACAATTAAATACAATATAAAACCATCTAAACAGGGAGCGAGTTGTAGTTGAGATCATCAACAAATAGCAAAGGCTAATCTAGTGGATAATACCAATAAAACTATTAGACACAGGAATGATAAGAAATTTATCCCATGATTAAAAAATGCGCTAGTCTAGATAAGGGTCTCTTAAGTTCTTTGCTAAATAGTGTAAGAGAATTCAACTTAGTGATACTAAGCCGTCACCTTGATTTTGTTTGTTTATCGCTCTTGCCTGTTCAGTATCAGACAAATAATAATTATGGGAAACAGTTGTCAGGTTTTCTTACCAGCAGGAGGCATGCGAAGTTTCATCAAGCTTGAAACTTTAAAGTACATCAGAAATTTTCGAAAAAGAGCCAGGCACATCATCGAGACCCAGAACACAAACAGGGCCTTCTGATGTATTGACAAGGGACCTTTTGAGGGCAGCTTCTCATGTCCTTCTGTTTGTGGACCCATCTAGGCGTTTTTATTGCCCACCTGTACCGTCCGGCCTACAAATAAAAACCATAAAGTATCACTCTGTCGCTACGACAACGCGGCGCGTGAAGATCTCCTCCATAGCGAAATGATTTGCAGGATAACAACTGAAACATATACAAGTATCCAGCGAGTTATAAAAGCAAGTAATTGATGATAATAATGATAATATATAATAATAATAATAATAGCTGATTTTCTAAACATCTTACACGTTAAATTTAAATTCCGGCGGGAATGTATAATAGCAGCCATGGCGATACCCACGCTGACGTCACCTACCGATATTTATGTGCCAACCGGAAGCGCATTGGTTCTTGCCAAACTAAAGATTAACAGTGTTTGTAGACAGTGATGTCTCCAATAATTCGGCCTGATCTGATCTCAGGCATATAGGAAATCTTCATCGCAAGTTGCAAAAGTCAGTAACGTAAACATGCCACTAGCCTCGCCGATACTGAGTATTTGGCCGAGTATGAAACTCGGTACTCTTTTGTTTCAAGGAGACCTTTGACTTAACTCAAAACAATTTACTACCTGTGCTTTTAATATTATCAAAACGTTTACTAGTCAGGATTCAATTAAGGTGTCCCATTCATATTTAAAAGAGATGAGCGCAAAACGCAAAATTTTCATGGGAGAAAATTATAACATGTTATAAGGGAGGTTATTTCTAATCGATTCTTGAAAAGTTTACGCATATTGAATTTAATATTGGTTTCTTTTTTATTCATGTTAGTCAATCAGTTGATCCAGTTTGTTTCAAAAGTGCTACGTAAGATCACTCTACTTTCACTGATTATATCTAAGTGAGAGTACTAGATTTTTGCAGTATTTTGGAAACAACTGACGTTTTCGTCTTTTGGCTGTCGTTGAAACAAAGCGCCTTCAATAAAATGATCCGGCTTAATCAACTGATGGTGACGGTGGAATCCATTTCATCACTGTAACTTAAACGACTTCTGGTGTTTTGAATCAAATCACACCCAGGGGAGACAAAAAGAGAGAGAGAAAAAAAATCTAACAAATTCCATTTCATACCTTTAAATACGTCAGGTGTGTCTCTGATGTAGCTTATGATTTTGATCGCCTCAAGACAAAATTTTCTTGCTATGTAAACATGTCATTACTGGTACCAGCTTTCATGTTACCATGGTCATTACAAGCAACTGATGAGAATGTCGACTGAGGCAAGTAAAAGCTGTCAGCTTTTCAGCCTTAATAAAGCCAAAATCAATGTTGCTGGGAAACACCGGGAAATTTTTAGGAAAAACTAATTTGTAAGTTTGATCTTAATTGAAGTAAACTTATGTGACAGGTGATTGGTTTAGCCAGAGATTAGTAGCATATGCAGCGGAGTCCTGGAGACTAGACTTTTCGATTTGTGTTGAAGGGAGGACTGGGGAGAGGGAAAAATGAATGAGCGCGGAGGGGACGATTGGAAGGGGAAAGAGAGCACCTCACACCTCGCGGGTACTCTTTTTCTTTTCAGCTGGAGCCTCTGCGGAGGAGCGGAGAGCTCCCAATTAACAAACGGCAACCGGCCCAGCGTGCGTCAGGACGTAACGAAGACAACGCGAGGCGCGGAGGCGCACAAATCAACCTACTGCTTGACCAATGAGAAAAACTTTAATTTAAAGTAGTGGAATGACATGAGCAGAGCGCCATCGACCACCCTTTCTTGGAGGTGAGTGTTGTAATCTGCAGGCGCAATGACGTGTCAGTGCAAATCATTTTTTGTAAAGTCTAGTTTCTTTTCGGTAAATAAGTAGATTTCTATCTCAATATGAATTGCAAAATCTTTTTTTTTTATGTTATCATAAACAACCTCTTTAAATTTTCCTTCAGTATTAAGATAATAACCTTTTAAAACTATGAGCCCGTCACCGGTCCGTCTCAGGTAAAATAATAGTCGGCTGGAGTAAAAACAAAATATACTGATTTGCGTAGAAATACATACTGCTCTGAGTGCCCGCTAAGTTTCGTCAGAATTAACCCCTGAGCGAAAAGCAAATGGGTAATTGACCAACCAACGCGCGAACAGGCTACAGGGAAAAGGCGGTGTAGACCTATTGTAGTCAAGTGAACAACTTAAAACTTAGCTAAAATAAATTACAGTCGGTACTCATTTGAAAATACAGTTACCCGCTAGGAGTCTGACTGTGCTTTTTCTTTCGTATTCTCAGCAAGGTTAAATCTTTGTATTATACCAGAAACCCCTTATGAGTTTCTGATTATACATAACATGGTTCAATTTTCTCTTTTGTTTAAATTTTGTTTTCTTTTGTTTTTGGGTATAGCAGTAAAGTAAGATAAAAAGATTGAAACAAGGAAACGAAAATAATATTTAAATCAATGGCAAAAATGAACCACAACAAATGTATCTCAGGGGGAAGAGCGCATGGCCGCCAAAAAAAATGAAAGAAATAGGTAAATCTAAGTTCTCAAGCAGGAAACGTTTTGGAATCTGAAGATTCTCATCACTCACATGTAAATGAGTAAACTTGAATTTATAAAGATGTAAATTTATTGGACAGGAAAACTCGCTTTCGGTTGGTTTACTAACAATGGACAAACTAACCACAGCCAGTGCACATGTACCGAGCCGTAACCGACGGAGGCAAAATATACATTTTCATACAAATTTTTAATTCACTAGTTTAGTTCGTCGCATGGGAAGATCGACGTTTTTTTATCTAGAGACGATCTTTAGACGTTCTTTTAGTCTGAAGCAGACGAATAGAACGTGTTGGACGATCCAAACTCATTCAGACGAACTTAAGTGAGCCAGACGTCGAACTCAGTTTCATGAACTTACCTCACTAAGTTTGGTTCGTCTCATCTCAGAAACGTTCGACGTTTGGCCCAGGCATTAGATCACTACAACGCATACAAAACAGAGAATAATATCTTAACAATATCCTCACCTTAAAAGTTGAAGTTTCTTATTGGTCGGTATTTTAAATTCTGACTGGCAATACGAACCTTTTGATAACGAAACGTTCCCCGGAACATTTGCAAGAAACTAATCTCGTGCCCAGATCTCTTGTTTACGAAGCTGAATTTCGGCTTCATCGACAATAGATCTAGGTACGAGATTAACAAAAAACAATATCCGAGCCTGTTGAGCATGTATGCATGTAGTTGAACTGTGATTGGGTAAATTCGCGCCTGTTAGGCTATAAGTAATAAAGAACTTCTGTTTAAACTGTCAAATTACGGTATTGACCAGTACCAGTGGGATGGATACAAGATTTCCTCAATAATGGACTGCAGTGTGTCATCTTAGCGGGAGAGAAATCCCCTTCTTAACGTCACATCAAGGGTACCTCAGGGATCTGTCCTAGGGCCAATCTTATTTTTGGCATTTATAAATGACTTACCAAACTGCATTAGGTCTAAAGTTCGTCTTTCTGCTGATGACAAAATTATTTTTAACAATTAGTTCATGCGTCAGCGTGCGTGTGTCGAGATGTTGGGCACTTGGAAAGTTTGGAGAGCATGCACGAAGGAGGCGTAATAGTTGCTTGAGGCGCAGCTGAAAGCAACTCTAGCCTCTTGGGTGCTCTCCAAACTTCCCAAGTGCGTAGCCCTCGTTTCTCGCGTCTTCGCCGCTCAACGCTCGCGTGCGCGTGCACTCCCCTTACTAAATCTGAGGAAAAAGAGAGACTGCTCGCAGTCCAATTATTTTCGGCCACAATTTTGAGTTGCATTCCATCCAAAACCGAGACACAGCCGCTCTTGTACTCAAAGCGTCGAATTCAGAAAAACTCACCTCTCACCTTTTGGCCACTTGAACGGTTTACAATTCATTTAACACTAATTATGCGCAAATGTTTGCATGAACACTGATCCTGATCTACATTAGGACCTACTAGGGGAAAAGAGCACCGCCGTTTTCCCAACCCAGACTCCCGATCGGCTCGCTTCGCTTGTCGATTTTTTTTTCGCTTTTTTCTCCCACTTCGGAGCCTGTTCTCAGGATAATCCTCTACTGAATAGTTGATCTACCGATGTTTATGACTCAATCATCCAAACGATGGCAAAGGTTCTCCTCAGGGTAGGTATTTCTTTCACACAGTAGGGAGACTGCCTAGCATGCCAGCAAACAAAAACATCATTTTGTACCACGTGACTAAGCTTCCCTCAATACTAGTCGTTGACTGTTCATTATATATTTACACAAAGGAAGCTATGCCTGTTTCATCCATAAGAATCATTTTGGACCGCTTTTATCTGATTGTTTCTTCATTTGAGAAATCGTCGATTTGAATCTCACTTCTCGGGTTCGTAGCCTTGTGAACGTGACTCCAAATCTGTCCATTAAAGCAAATTGGTCCTTTTTAAAAACAACTTTTACAGCTTTTTGTTACATACCTGGACAGAAACTCCTAAAAAGAAAGAAAACTCACCAATACAATTAGAAGCTGCCCAGAATTTCTAGTGAAGACTGTCACAGATGGGCGAGACTGAGCTGGACTGAATACGTGGCTATCACAAATCATCTTTATTCAGTTTTCCTTAAGATTCTATGAAAGCACAGGTTTCCTGGGGTGTCAGTAAAGCGCGGGGTCGGGGCCGCAGTCGGGGTCTAGCATGCATGGGTTAGGGTTGACACTAACCCTAACCCTAACCTAACCCTAACCTCTAAAACAGCATGCTTAAAAAAAAAAGATAGACCCCGACCCTGGCCCCGCGTTTTACTGACACCGGATTTCGTGGGCGCTCCTTTATCCCAGCTTAGTTGAAAAACGCCCATGGTCAGTGGTTTAGAATACCTTATTTATTCGAATAAGCGCCCAGCCTCGAATTCGCGCCCACCTCGAATACGTGCCTATCCTAAAGGCAGAAAAAGTTTATAAGCGCCCACCCCACCCCACCCCCTCCCACAAAAACTCCAATAAGAGATCATAAGATACCCTCCCGAAGACAGAGTTTTCTTCAGAGTATTGTACAGAAACCTTGCTTTGTTACATCTTCGCTTTTTGCTATTAGCATTTACTATTTTGTTGCAAAATATACTACAACACTTGCCGAGAATGGTGAACATTTAATAAGCGCCCAGCCTCGAATAAGCGCCAACTCTCAAAGTCCAAAAATTTAATAAGCGCCTAGGCCAGTTCATCGAATAAACACGGTATCTATCATTCGTGGCAGATTCGTCAAAAAGGGCAAGAAACTTCTGCTTACATTGCCCGAGGGGCAAAAACGGGAACACAAATGTCCACAAATGCATGGTATAACAATGGACACAAAAGGCGATATGTAACAGACAGGACAATGTCAAGGGAAAAAATGATTACTTGGGGAAGAATGAAATTATGAAAGACAAGAAAAATTTCTTTATTGAGCGCTCTCTTATGCTGGCCGGGGGAACTTAAGTCACTGAAGGATGGTTGTGTGATTCAAGAGTTTTTTAAGATCTTATTCAACCCCGATCCTACTAGGAACTGATCAAGTGATTAACGGTTCTTTAACTGGTTTCACCAGTTAATGACATATGCAAAATACTATTTACAATCAATACCGGAGGGGAGGGGGGGGGGGGGGGGGGCAGACAGTTTCGCATCGACTTAACCCCAAAAAGGTTTTGTTTTCAGGATAAATTTTACCTTAATTAATGGTAATTTTACATTTATTTGGAGGCTTTTTTGCAAAAAATAAAAATTTGAAAACTAACATGTTGACACCCTTTTGACTATGGATTATGTTGTGAGTGGGAGATGTAGTGTGTGTTTCTTATTTTGGTTTTTTGATATATGTTATAGTTACTTATTTCATACTCTATAGTGAAAAGTGTAGTGTGGATAGGAGGTTTGTTTAGATATGAAAGATTGCAATAGGGAGCGGGGCGGAGAAAGGGGGGGGGGGGTGGGGGGGGGGGGGGGGGGTGGGGGGGGGGAGGGCAGACAGTGTTCGACTGCACTTACCACCAAAGACGTTTGCTTTACAGATTAAATCTACCTTAAGTACATGTGAATTTACATGTAATTGCGAGACTTTCTGCTAAAAATTAAAACTTGCAAGACTACCATGTGACTACCCAGCTTAAAACTCTCTTTGAAACATGTACTTAAATCTAAAGTGTTTTTCTCTTTTGCCTTAAGAGTTGTTTAAAAACCTTTGCAAG